CCCAATAGGTATAAAACACACATTTACATAAAACCTCCCCCAACTCCCTTTATCTAAATTCACTTTCTGTAGCCATTCATGGTCAACTACAGTGCAAAATTGTTAAACAAAAAAATGCCAGAAATAAATGATTTGAGTTTAAAACTGCACACCACTCTGAGTACCATGAACTCCCCAGCTGTCCCACTCTGTCCCTCCTGGAACAAGAGTCAGTCTTTTGTCCAGCATACCTACATAATATATTTGGCACTTTGTCTGCTAGTCATTAGCAGCCATCTTGGTTACCACAGTATTGCAATGCATGTGTTTAAGTAACCTTCACTTGAATTTAGAACAGTCTGAACATGTGGGAATTCAGACATGCCCAAGATGAGTTTTAAAAGTATCTCTATAAGAGAAAAGATAAAAAGTTTCTAATTTGGGGTTGGAGAGATGGCTTAGAGGTTAAGAGCACTGGCCACTCTTCCAGAGGTTCTGAGTTCAATTTCCAGCAACCACATGGTGGCTCACAAACATCTGTAATGAGATCTTGTGTCCTCTTTGGGCATGTAGACAGAACACTGTATACATAATAAATAAAAGTTTTAAAAAGGTTTTTAATTTAATAGGAAAATAAATAGTTAAGATCTGCAGTAAAAATGAATCTTCTATCCAGGAAATTGTGAAGAAGAAATTCCTGCTACATTTGCTGTGATACTTCAAACTAAAAAAGTTATTGTTAGAATATATAAGTACTTAAGATAGAAAAATCAATGGATTTGTACATGCATATGTAGAAAAGAACATAGGTAGGGTTCAGGGTTAGCCTTGGTTTTAGCTGTCTCCTGGAGCCCTTCCAATGTATTCATTATCTCAGATAAGGGGATGATGGAGTAACACAATATGGTATGGCAGCCCCTTCTTAGCCATGGAGGGCATGCTCTAAAACCCACAGATGCCCAAAATTATACAGTTCATATACTTCATTCTTTTGTACAAATGCATACTCATGATAAAAGTCTAATCTAAAATAAGGCAAAGCCAAACATTAATGCTCTAAAATAAAATTATTAAAATAATATGTTGTGACAAAAATTATGTAATGTGGTCTCTCAAAGTATCTTTTACTTTTACCTTCTAGGAAGCACTTCATTACTTAACTGAACTGCCATCATGACTCAGGTGCTCTGGGCTATTACCACACAAAATCAGTTATCTGGACACAGCACTGTAACACTTGATCTAACAACTGAGATGTTGAGGAAGTGATGTATGTATAGTGTGAGTGTGCATGTACCAGACAAAGAGCTGAATCCTGTGAAAGAGTTCACCACACTACTCAAAATGGTACATTTAAAACTCATGAATTGTTTACTTCTGGAATTTTCCATTTAATTTCCAAACTCAGATTTTAAAAAGGGATTTTTTAAAAATATATATCCAAAGAATATGTTAGTCATAAAAGGTCTAAAAGATTACTGTTACAACATGAATGTATCCTGGAATTAAATTAAGTTGCTATATTTTACATGAACCACTTATATGAAACACTGAGAGGAAGCAAACTCCTAGAGGCAGAAAGAGAGGCTGTGAGTGCCAAGGGCTGGGAAAGGAAAGGACAGGACAGACAGTTATTGCACTAAATACAGGGCTGTGCTGTCGGTGATGAAGTGTTCTGGAATTAAGACAGCAGTGTTCTTTTCACAACTTTGTGGATCTACTAATAATTACTGAATTGTATACTCACAGTGAATTTTATAGTGTGTGAATTATATCTCAACCTAAAAGTAATTCTTCCTAAACAGACAGAAAACAACAGCAGGTATGTTGGCATCTACTGTAATTGCAATACTAAGGAGGAAGAGGCAGGAGGATGGATCACTACAAGTTCAAGACCACCCCGAACTATGGGACAAATCTTATACCAATATGTCTATATAGTGAAAGCCTGTCTTAACAAAGTAAAATGTAAGTAGTCCACATCATAGCCAAATAGGGTTCCCTGGGTCCATCTACCTCATCCAACGTCAGCACACAAGAGACAGATATATCTGTGACAACCCCTAGGCAGACACTGGCTAAGACAAAGATTCCCTGGAGAGCCCCTACCTGCAGAAAAAACTGACAGTGTTCTTAGACTGTGTTAGTTCAAAGTTAAATTTAAAGGAAGAGCTAGCCCAGAGGGTCTCAGCTGGGTGATTTTGCCCCCTCCCCACCAGAAGATGGGCATTGTCTCCTCTAGAGAAAAGAATTTTAGTGGATGGACAGGGAAGGAAAGTGCCAGGTAGATGTAGATAGAATCAGGGATGTTGCTAAGCAGTGCCCCTCACAGTTCAGAACAATAACAATGGCTGAGAAAACCATCTTAATCTAATGGCAGGTTAATTACTTTTAAAATCCTCAGATTTATATAACCCATGTATATGCTTGCTATCAATAATGTTAAATACATCCAAACAGCTCCAAAGTCATGTTTTCAACCAGATTCACAGAGTTAGGCTGGCCCCAGATTGCTGCAGGAAAGTCTAACTAAAAAGAGCATTCCAGGACTTTCCTGGCTCAGAGTTTGGCAAACCTGCAGCAGCCAGGAAAACATGCCCAAATACAGCCTTAAGCAACACTTTCAAAAGAGATGTTTATCGGGTTTCCTTCTTCAGTGGAAAATGGACATTTTGTGAAGTTTATTTGACACTCACACAGGGAATGAGAATTTCTATTTTACTCAAAGAAATGTAAAAAGATATTCAAACAGGAGGTGGTGTACAGATACATTCTAACATTTACAATCCCTTCTAGCTTACTGGCAGAAGCCTAGCCACATCACCAAATTCCAAATCTCCAGGCTCTATTTAGTACTCCGAAAAAGATACTCTTCAATTTCAAGAAAGATTTATTTTTAAAGAAGGTACTTCCTATAAGCCATGGCCATCTTCATCACTTAAGGGGAAAATAATTAAATAGTAGATATATGTTACCAGAGAACCTCTCAAAGAAAACTGTTCCGTGTAGTTCTTCATAGACAACTGATAGGAGATGTCATTCTGTAAATATGTTTCTCATACTGGTTAATGAATAAAGCACTGTTGGCCAATAGGAAAGCAAGATAGGCGGGATTAGGAGACAAGGAGGATTCGAGGAAGTAGTAAGGAGGAGTCAGCATGTAGAGACAGGAGAGAGTAGAACCGCCGGCTCCCTCTCTCCAGTAAGATGAGACCACATGGAAGTACTTAGATTAATAGAAATGGGTTAATAATTAAGACAGAGCTAGCCGATAAGAAACAAGTAACAGGTCAACAGAATTATATCTAATACAGAGTCTCAGTGTATTATTTGGGGCAGGCATGGCGGTGGGACCGGCGGCGGGAAAAAACTACTCAGACAACTACATCAATGCAACCCCTTTTCTTATAAACTAGAACCCCAGTTTATATACTGTTTTACAACCTGTTCCTTTGTTGTGGGGGAGGGGGAGGAGTTGGTGTTGAGGCAGAGTCTCACTATGTAGCCTTGGCTGGCTTGAAGCTTGCTTTGTAGACCAGGGTGGCCTTGAACTAACAAAGATCCATTTGCCGCTGGCTCTCAAGTACTGTAATTAAAGGCATGTGCCTAAATGGTGGCAAGGACTTGTTCCTCTTAACACATTTTCCCAAAATAGTAGGTTCACAGCTATACCAGCAATATAATGTCCAATTGCATGGCCACCCAATTTTTTGCTGTTTTGTTTGTTTAGAGACAGGAGTCTTATTATTTAGTCCTGGCAAATTTCAAACTCAGAGATTTGCCTATTTTTACCTGCTAGGATAAAAGGCATGCACCACCATGCCCAGGCTTGTTTGGATTTTCAAGACAAGCCTTGATACACAGCCCAGGCTGGCTTTGAACTACAGTCTGGAAAGTGTTGAACTACAGGTGTGTGCCATCACACCTCCTTGTTTGGCTTGATTTTATTTTATTTTTAAAGAAACTTCTTCTCATTTACTGTCTTCAGTATCTTGCTCAGAGTCTTGAAATGATTACTTTTGTTCACACATCCTTTTAAAGTTATCTTAACTTTCCTTAGAATAAATTCTCAGGGGCTGGAAAGATGGATCAGTGGCTAAGAGCGCACTGACTGACCTTCCAGAGGTCCTGAGTTGAAGTCCCAGCAACCACATCTGGTGCCCTCTTCTGGCCTGCAGGCATACAAGCAGGCAGAACACTATACATAATAAATAAATAAATAAAGTTTAAAAAAAGAAAGAAAGAAATTCTCAGAAGTAAACTGCCAGGAGCTTTTAATATTTGGCTTCACACCCCTAAACTACCATTCTGAAGGTCTGACAACTTAGTTAGTTTTTACTTTTTATTGTTTTTGAGACCCAGTCTTACCATACAGCTCTGAGCAGCCACGAACTGATAATCCTTCTGCCCAGAAAGGAAAGTAGAGCTGCTCTATGATTCAGCTTCGATACACTGGCAGTGGGGATAGCTACCATGAGCCCCATGATGGCAATTCATTGACTAAGAATAACTAATTCCAGGCAAGATTGTTCAGCAGCTAAATGAGCAAACTGCATTTACAGAGGACCCAAATTCACTACCCTGGGTGACTCACAACCCCCTGTAACTCAAGCTCCAATGGACCCAACATCCTCTCTGGTTTACATGGTGTTTACACTGACATGTACACACCCACACAAATGTACAACACTAAAAATAAAATACTCTTGGAATCGAAGAATGACTAACTCCCTCATTGGCACTGAGTCTGGACCAACACTGCAACAGTATGATTCTCCAGGCATTACCTCTTCCTAGTCAATCCTCACCCACTAGGAAGAAAATCTAACTTAAAAATCAAGAGATATTTTTGTAAAACAAAATGCCTTTGTAGTAGAAGAAAATGTGTGGCCAGTCTGATTTAACATAAACCCACCAGCAATCACTATCTGCTCTACCTGACTCCACTCCTCTATCTCCGACCTCAGAGTCAGGGTCCAGTCTGCTTCCCCTCAAAGTTGAGACACCTAAAGGGAACTTACATAGAAGTGAAAATGTAAGAAGTGGGCCAAAACCCTGGGAGCCACGTCGGGGAAGGTGGCCAGGAGAGTCTGGAGGTACACCTCCAGATCCTTCTCTCTCTTCTCCACCAAGCTCCTGGAGTTCTTTCCAATTATCTTTTTGGGCGGAAGTAGAGTTTTGTCAATCTTTCTCTCTGCAACAAGCTGTAAGAAAACACAAGCACATCAACCATAGACCAAGAAGCTCTGTATCTGTGTAAGACCCAGGCTGTCAATCACATCTTACATGGCCACTCTGTATCTGTGTTAAGACCCAGGCTGTCAATCATATCTTACACAGCCACTCTATCTGTGTAAGACCCAGGATGTCAAAAATCACATCTTCTACAGCCACTCTTGGTAGCAGTACCAGAATTAGTGCTCCAGCTAATGCACCTGGGATGTGCCCTTTCCAAATCCAAATCATACTGGAAATACTAATACAATTCAAAGTGAGAAATTCCACCTTCAGTCTTTGAGGACATTGAGAAAAGTAGTGTTTATGGACCCCTAAAGTTCAAAAACTAAAGGAGTCGGTGTTGTATCTTTCAGACACTCTCACTGTAAACATCCCACAGAAAAGCAGCTCTTTCTGAAAGCAAAGAAAAAAATATAACCTGAATCTGTTAGTAAAGAATAAAAATATATTTTGTGGAGCAAGTTCAAATCTGTACTCTCCTCAGGAACAGGTGATTTTAAAAATGAAATTTAAATATACTACTCTAGATGATCTCATACTAGGGTTGAACTCCTAGAACCAACCAGTTCTTTTGCCAGATGCATTAAGGAACTGTTCCACTAAAGTAAACCCTAAAGGCCATGAGATAGCTCATCTGGTAAAGGTGTTTGCTACTGAATCTGATGGTCTGAATTTAATCCCTGGGGCCTATGTGGTGGGAGAAGAGCCAGCACTCACAAAGTATCCTTTGACCTCCATGCATGGACTATGGTGTGTGTGCCTCCCCTCCCATACACATATGCATGTTTATATGTATCTATGTATTTATTTATTTATTTATTTTAAGGACAGGGTTTCTCTGTGTAACAGCCCTGACTATCTTGGAACTCACTTTGTAGACCAGACCAGGCTGTATCAAACTCACAGACATCCCACTGTCTCTGCTTCCCAAGTGCTAGGATTAAAGGCATTTATCACTATGACCAACCATAAATAAATTCTTAAAAAAATTAGCACACAATAGATGTGGAGGTGGTTTTGCCCTAAAATTAATGTGTGGCACAATGGAGATATGGTCCTCAAGCCGCTAAGCCCTGAGATACAGACTCCCAACTCTTAAGATTACCTTTTCATGTAGGTCATGAAAGTCACTGTAACGGTGCTTGATTGTCCACTCATGGTTGCCATCAGTAACCTGTATGATATAAACCTAAAGGGGAAAATGATTCTTTGTGGCACAGGAAACCTGCTCCCACAATAGCTGCCAAGTATTCAGACCCCACTCCCTAAAATCCAGTCAGGTATCTTTCCACATCCAATATGCACCTGACCCCTACTTGAGCAATGGTGGCCCAACCTTCCTCAGCCTCCCCCACAACCCTGTGAGGTCTGGAGTAAAGCTGTGCTTCAATCATCAGGAAGGAACGAAATAGGACTAGCTCAACACACATCCTTATACTTTTACACCTGGCCTCTACATTAATTCAAAACCCAACCTGAGTTGTAGGCAAGGCTGCCCCTTCTAAGGGAGGCAGAGCAGAGGCCAGTTCAGCAGAACCAGTGCTATGCATCTGCTATGCATTTTTTCAGGCACCCTGTCTCCATCCCTGAAGCAGATCTTCAGTCAACATTTTCCACTAAGCTGTGGTTTTGAATTCTACAGCTGAACCCGGAGTCAAGTCACCACCAGGCTCCCAGGGGCAGCAGTGGGTTCAAAAATCCAGCTATCCCATTTCCTGGGCGTGGCTTATGTGCAGCTTATGTAAGAGACTAGGAACCTAAGTTCTCTCTGGGCTTCAATTCCTCCATTTTAAAAGCCGGGAGGGTTACGGCTCTATTAAAGCAATAAGCATGTAATGGTTTGTGAAGGCCTAACACCTAACAAAAGACAGATATGTTAATAACATCCGTCCCTGGGACAAATGCTGGTCAGCTTGGACCACCACGAGGTAGGACAAAGCCCCGAACAGAGAGAGCTTTTTGGAGATGAACCTCTACTGACTGCAGCTAGTCACAGCTGAGTGACCTCATCTCGTAACTAGATGAGCAAGCTCCTCGGTCCCAGCTTCTCTACCTCTATCTGTGTATCAGGGAAAAATGAGTGGAAATAGTCAACTAGGCTGATTCCTCTGACCCCCAGAAGCAGCCATTTCTCCAGCACCAGCCTGTTGCTGCAGGAGCCACCAGCCAGAATTTCACTGTGACAGTTCCCTTTCCTTGTGGGGGGGGGGAGGGTGGGGGTAGAGAAGAAGAGCTAGAGGATAGCCCTCAGGGTCCGGTATTAGGATGGGAGCCAATGGGGCTTGGCAAAGGCTGGGCCATGGCCCTTACCACTGTCCACCCTCCTCCTGAGAACAAAGGACGAGGATTCAGGGAGGTAGTCTATGAGCCCCCACCACAGAACAAGTTTTCTCCTGGCAGCTTGGCAGGCCTGGCATCCAACCCTATCCAGACCCGAGAGGGCTTCTAACACCATTAACACAACTACCTTCCTTTATGTAGGGTCTCTCTTGTAGCCTACAAGGTTATGTCCCTCGCTTGTGAAGTCCCCTAAGGGTTGTACGCCCTGTACTTCAGCCCTGAGGCAACCTGTCCTTTCCCAACGACTGGGGGAGCCCAATTCTTTCCCACCAGACCCTTCAGGGCCCGTTTTCCCATATCCCTTCCTCACTGGCGTGTGTGTGGGGGTGGGGTGGGGATCAAGATCGGGCCCCTCTCCTTCACCACCTGAGGATCCCGGGCCCCTTCTCTGCGTCGGTTCCATCATTCGGAGGTCACCCCTTTCGAGGAGTCCCCTTCCTCCCAGCCTCCCTCCCTATCAAGGTCTCTCAGGCTGGCGCCCCTCCCTGCCTGAAGGATGGAGAGCGGCTCCGTGTCCCCTAGACACCCCTCCCTCCGCAGATCCTCCTTTACCCTCTGATTCCTCCCCACAACGCAATCAAGCCTCCTTTCCTTTCCTGACCGCGCACCCTTTTCCGCAACCCGCTCCGGGACCTATGCAACCCAGCCCCTTCCCCTGCAAACCCCACCGCAGAGCCCGCAGAGCCTGCCTCCTGCCCACGGGGCGGACGCGCGACCCACACCCTCCTCCAGCCCCGACGCGGGCTCCGGGCTCCGGGCGGGCTCCCCGCCTTGGGGGCCCGCGTCCCCCAGCACACCGTGTACGAGTCCACGAGCTCGGAGCCCACGACGCGCGCCTCCTTGGCCGGCTCGGCCTCCCGCTCGGGCCCGAAGCTGAGTGCCGCCGCCATGTTGCGGGCTCCGCCGCCGCCGCCGCCCGGCGCAGACTGGCAGCAACAGGGGGCGGGGTCAGCGTCCCGCCGCCCCTCGGCCCCCGCCGCCCCCCGCCCGCGCCCGCGCCCGCGCCCGCGCCGCCATCTTGGTCCCACGGCCTTCCGGCGCCCTCGCCCCGCCCCTCGCCCATGATGGACAAGACCGCCAATGGTCACGCGTGCGTAGTAGCTCCCGCGGGCTTGCCGCGTTGCCTTTTGTGTACCCCTGTAGCCAGCGCCTCTCGGTCTCTTGTAATTGTGGTTATTGTCCGGTGGCCCCTCAGCAACGGAGACCAAGGGCCTTCTGAGCTCTCCAAACCCAGTCCTCAGTCCAGAGGGGACGTTAACAGGGTCTCACCTGGCTGTTAGGCTCATTTCCCTGCGTAGCAAGAGAAAGACGAAGAAGATACGAACTGGATTTAGAGCTGCAGCAAGAACCAGGGTGACTCTGATATTCAGGGGGTCCGTTGTTCCATGTAGTGATGGAAAATTGGGTGTGATGATTATGCACTGCTCTGTACGTCCCCGTTGCGTGTTAGGTTGCAAACTGGTGTGTTCAGGGGGAAAGTATGTGAAGCAGAGATGCAGGTTGGGGGTGCGGGGAATGGGAATGTCTGCTTCCCCAGCCGACATCCTGCAAGAGCTCAAATTGAGGGGGATGCACGTAGGCCCTGAACACAAAAGCATCAGTGCTTGAATGGGGAAGACTTAGCTGGAAAAGAGATGACCCAACTGGAATCCTGATATAAATAGGGTTCTTTGGGGATACTTGTTGAGTCACAGAGCACAGCTAACTCAAGACCAAAGTGAACATTACTGTCCTTGAGAGATAGAAGGTCGGGGTGTGGCAAATCTGGCTGAAGGGCTCCAGGCCAGCCTATCCTAGGTGGGCCAGTGACTTCTCCCCTTAACAGTTTCATGTTATACTCTGAACCTCACATAGGGGGCCCTGTCTCTTGACAGGGCTCACACCGCCAGCCTCTACTTGCACATTACCCCCTCTAGAGAGGTGTAATGTAAGGTAGCCTGATCTTAGGCTACTCATTGTCTGTCTGGAAGCTAGAAAATGGGAGTGTTATCACCCACCTCTCTGGTTGTATAGAAGACTGACTGTTTTTAGGGACCTGGCTGGCCTGGAGCCCACTACTTCACATTTCCTCTCTGGGCCTGGACTTCAAGTTTTCATACATTCAAGAAACTTTTCCTGGGTCTATGGAGATGGCATCTTATAGTGCATTGAGGCTGTCAAGCCTCAAGACAAGTTCAGTTCTGGGTATCTAGGCCGTAGAGGGAGATGGATGACTCCTGCCAGTTACCCTCTGACCTCCACATGCACACATAAATAAATATAATAAATTTGGGGTTTTGTTTTTTTTTTTTTTTTTCTTGAGAATTCCCTGTGGGGTGTGGGGAACAGGTGGCAAGAGACCCGGTCCTTTCGGTCCTTCCTAGTTCCTGGGCCAGGCAGAGGATACAGGGACTCTAGCCAGCCTGAGATTACAGGGACCAGGGGAGGGGGTGGAGGATATTGCAGGCAGTGGTGGGCTGGACTGGGAATGCAGCAGGAGGTGGAGGGAGGCAGGGCTATTTAAGCCCAGGCTGAGGGCTGGCTGGCTGGCAACCCCAGTAGCCTGTCCTGTGAGCTGCCTCCAGCATGGATGACATCTACAAAGCTGCGGTGAGAGATAAGTCTTAAAAAGATTGGGGTGGGTAGGCACATTGGGATTCACTCAGCTCAGAATGGGGGACAGGGCTGCCCCAGGGAAGTGATGGAGAATTCATAAGAGATCCCATACATCTGCAGCCAAGCCCCTCGAAGGAATAGTAGGCTGACATTTGGAGGGTGCAGAAAAGGTGGGAGTCTCAGGGTCTGGAGAGGGGCTGTCAAGGTAACTAGAGGGTGTGATCTCAGCTTTCAGCATCCTGTTTCTCCCTGTTTCTAAATGTCTAGTCTGTTGCTGTCTTGGCTACACCTCTGTATTTATGTTTCTATTCTTTAGTCTTTCTTTGGTCTTTCTCAAGTTCTTTCCATTCTTCCTCACTGTCTCTCCAAGTCTTTGTCTCTCTGTCTCTCCAGCCACCCCCGATTTCTGCCTCTTACAATCTGTTTTTTACATGCTCAGATCTAGCCCCTTAGCTGGCTGAAGATGCTTTAGAAGGTGGGAGGTGACTATGAGAAGGTTTGCAGAACTTGAATTCTAGGATGGGGAAGGTGCTTAGAAGGCCCAGGCCTGGTGAGAGTTAGGGGAGAGGGAACAGAAAGCTTAAACCTAGTCCTTGTATGGTCTGGTAGGCTCAGGGCTTAGGCAGACACATAGGGTGGTAAGAGTCAGGGCTAGAGAACAGGCACCCCAAGATCCTGCAATCTCCTGGGGACCCCGGGGGCCTTTTGATACCTCTACCTCCAGAGACAAGAAAATACTAGCAAACAGTTGTTCCCAGGGAATTCTTCCCCAACCCCCAGAATATGGCCCCTCTTGTGAGCAGGGAAGGGCTGCAGCTGGTTCCTATGGTATCCTTGCCTATCTTGTAGGAGTTTGTGGAGCTGGGGGGGGGCTCCACCCAGTGCCCATACAAGGCCTGGCGGGGCTGGGGACTAATTTTGGCTCCTGAGGCAGCACCAGTAGGCCAGGGGGGCAGATAACACTGCCCCACCCCCTACATACCAAAGTCCCCAGAACAATCACCAGGTTTAACTTTGTCCTCCTTTAAAAATAGCTCAGTGGCCACCCTGGTCAGGTTACAGTGGGCGGCTTTGCTCACCCCCACATCAGTTTTATTGTCTCAACCTGAGGGGCAGCTGTCTTAGGCCATGCAGCTTAGGTTTCATTAGGGTGATCTAAAGGACATGGAATGGTCATTGAGTATTGTTACTCAGGATACCTTGCTCCTGGAAGGGGTGCCTGCCTGTCACCTTGGCCCCTAGCCCAGCTTCTGGAAAATCAGCAGGGTCACCTTAGGACTTTGGGGGTAGGGAAGAAGGGCTGAGGACTTCCTCTGTGACCTGGGAGTGTGTGCCTCTTTCCATTCTCGGTCTTCCCACCTGTGGACTGGGTCTCTCTCTACAGCAGTCTCCACTATGGCCTGAGTCTGGGTCCTGAGTTCCCTTTTCCTCTCTAGGTAGAACAATTGACAGAAGAGCAGAAGAATGGTAAGTATCTCACATTGGGGGGACAGTGGGGTTAGGTGGAGGGAGTGTGGGGATGCCTTTCCAGGAAAGGACTCCACACTAGAGGCCATGGTCTGGGGGTTCTCTGTAGTGAGATAGACCTCAAAGAACTCTTGGAGGGAGGTAGGCAATTTAGTGTCCCGGCTGCTGATCCTGTCTCCTCACCCTACCATTGGATACAGAGTTCAAAGCTGCCTTTGACATCTTTGTCCTGGGTGCGGAGGATGGCTGCATCAGCACCAAGGAGCTGGGCAAGGTGATGAGGATGCTGGGCCAGAACCCCACACCAGAGGAGCTGCAGGAAATGATTGATGAAGTGGATGAAGACGGTGAGCCCCTTCACCCATTCCAGTCTCCACGCATGTAACACCCCAGGCTCACTGGCCTCCAGATTTTGGCTGTATCATCCAGAAACTCGACAAATAGCTCATGCCTCTAATCCCAAGAAGTCTGAGGCAATACCGCTGTGATGAGTTTGAAGCCAGTGTGATTGAGTCTTCTTGCCTCAAACAAGAAGAGCGGGCAAATGAACACACTAGTCCCATAGTGTTGGTGTGGGGAGGCCACTGCCTGAAGGCTAACCTTGTCCTCTCTCCGGCCCTGCTGTCTACCCACAGGCAGCGGCACAGTGGACTTCGATGAGTTCCTTGTCATGATGGTTCGGTGCATGAAGGATGACAGCAAAGGGAAGTCTGAGGAGGAGTTGTCGGATCTCTTCCGAATGTTTGACAAGTGAGAACATGTTTAGCTTCTGACCCTTACCCAAGCAGAGAGTAGAAAGGGATAGCCTTAGCTGGACGGTGGTGGTGCATGCCTGTGTGCGCCTTTAACCCCAGCACTTGGAGGCAGAGGCAGGCAAATTTCTGAGTTCAATGCCACCCCAGTCTACAGATCGAGTTCCAGGGCAGCCAGGGCCACACAGAGAAACCCTGTCTTTTTTTTTTTTTTTAAGATTTATTTATTTAATATACATTGGGTTTTGCCTGTATGAGTGTAAGATCCCATGGAACTTGTGTTACAGACAGTTGTGAGCTGCCATGTGGGTGTTGGGAATTGATCCCTGGTCCATAGGAAGAGAGCCAGTGCTCTTAACCACTAAGTCATCTCTCCAGCCCCGAAACCCTGTCTTGAAAACAAGGAAGGAAGGGAGGGAAAGAGGGAAGGAGAGGGGAGGAAGGGAGGGGTTGTCTTAGATCCCATGCTAGGTACCCTGCTGTCTGTCTATATGATGAGACACAGCAACGGCCATCTTCTAGTGTCCCTGCTCTGCCTCCTGGGGCTGTATGTGTGGGGAACCTCTTTCCCTCCTCCTCCGCCCTCCCCTGAGCTCTGGGCTTCCCCTTGCCCTTCCTGTAGAAATGCTGATGGCTACATTGACTTGGATGAACTGAAGATGATGCTGCAGGCTACAGGGGAGACAATTACAGAAGATGACATTGAAGAGCTCATGAAGGATGGTGACAAAAACAATGATGGCCGAATTGACTATGATGGTGAGTGGGGTGGGAGAACCTTATCTGCTGCTGTCATCCTCTGCCCAGCTCTGACCTCTAACCCATGCCTGACCCTCTTTCCACAGAGTTCCTGGAATTCATGAAGGGTGTGGAGTAGACACCAGCTGCACAGAGTTGCCCACGCCTGTCCTCCCTCTCTAGACAGACCCAGTGGTAGGGATGTAACTAGGTTCTCTAGACTCTGAACCTGGTTGTGTCCTTTAACCTTGTCCCCAACCCCCTGCCCTGCCTCATTCCTGTCCTGAGGAGTGCAAATAAATCCTTACTCCCCAGAGGCTGGCATCTTTTTCTGATTTTCCTAGGGCCACAGTCCTTTCTCGGGGTTCCTTCCTGATGACTCCATCCTGTTAGGCTGGCTGCAGAGCCACCTTCCGCCAAAGGACTTTCATTAGACAGCGATACCTTGCTATGTGCCCTCCTGGTAACTGGGCCCTGCAGCAGCCACAGACCCTGCATTTTAACAAGCTCCCGGAGGTCAAGAGAGGTGTGGAGTAGACACTGACCTTCACTAAAAGCTGTCCATTCCCACTTTCCCACTCTAGTCAGGCTCTGGGATGGGGTTGAGCTGTCTGGGTTGGCCAGTACAGCAGCCAACAGATATCCTCTCACAGAGAGCAGTTAGCTCAGTGGGTACTGGGTGCTCCTTAGCACAGCAAATTCTCCATCTGGTTGGAAGGAAACTAAATCTCGTGAGACCCAGCAGGCTTGTGGCACTAACTATCTTCCCACTGCCTATGTTTCCCACCAGGAACATTGACTCTGGCATGTAGTTTACTCCACACTCTAGCATTTATTTTACAGATGAGTTCCCAATGGCCTAGAAAGCCAAGGTCATCTGGCAAATCTACAAGAGGGCGTAGCCACCTTGCAGCCAGCCAAGGGCTCTGACAGACTAGGTGAAATGTATCTACTGTCTAGTTCTTTGGCCCTCTGAGACTGACCTCCAGTCACCCATTTGGTCTTTTTCCCAGACAGGAAATGAAGGCATACGGTCTGAAGACATCCCCACCTTAGTGGGGGTGTCCAGGTCAGAGCTGCCACCAGCACAGCGATTGGGGGGGGATTGGGGTTTGCAAGGAAGTAGAGGTGTTGGTAGCAATGCTTTCAGGACAAGACAGCTGATAATGATAGCCAGGCTCTAGCCAGAATGTCAGCAGCTGTTCTCCATCTGCCCTGCTACTCTCCAGCCTCTGCACCTGTGCCCTAGCCTAAGCATTCTCCAGACAGGCTGCACATTCCAGAGAGAGTCTTGGAATTCTAGACATGCCTCTGGCCAGGCAATAGCTGCCAGGAAGTCCCTGCAAAGCCATGGGAAGAGTGGAAAGAGGCTCCTGCAGCCCTGCCCTTGGGATTGGGAACTAGAGAATTTGGGGTTCTACAAGGACATCCAGAGTGACCCAGCAAGGATGATGTCCCAAAGAAGGAGGAGCCACAGTGGGTGGTACAGTCTGTATCCTTCAGTGGCCTTCCACATACCCTCTCTGCAGTGTAGGGCGAGATGCTGTGGTACATCAGAGTGAGGCCTTGTTTGAGAATCTCAAAAGGCAATGGAACTCAGTGAGGAAAGCAGAATGGTGCGATGGCCCAACATTAAGCTGTCTTGGAATGTTTCTTAGAAGAGGAGGTGTTGAGCAGAACCCCGAACAACAGCAATGGACCACCTGTGGGGCGCAGGGGGAAGGACTTGAAGTGAGTCTCAAACAGGAAACAGAAGCTGAGCCCCAGCCGCCTTGGAGAGAGGTGGGCAGCTCCAGGCCTCCTGTTCTGTGGCGCTCAGAGGTGATGTCACCAGTCTACCTTGGATTTATAAGTGGCTTTAGCAAGGAAGTAGCAAGCAAAAGGAAAAGAGCAAGTAGTCACAGACAGAGAGGAGCAGCAGCTAGCAGAACATTACCAGATCATCCAGCAGAGCACACAGAAAGCAGCAGCATCAAACAGGCGACTTCTAACCACCCTGCTGAAATCGACTGGGAAACCCCATTTGGGCAGCTGTCTGGAGCTCCTGATCCAGAGAGTCTGGGGGTGGAGGAGACCTTCCCCCTGATGAGTAAAGGAACAAATTGAAGCAGACAGGTAACATCAAGTCAGATATCACATCAGCAGAACCCAACAGGACAAGTTGAGCAGCCAGCAGCTCCCATTAGCTTCTGCCCCCTGGCTTTCATCCTCCTGCACACATTTTTCCCCCATTTTTTTTTTTTTTTTTTATTTTTACTAGTTAAAGTTTTTTCTATTTGTTCAACATCCCTGCCACTGTTTGCCCTCCCTCCTCCCCTCCCCTTCCCTCCCCCTGCCTTCCTTTTGCCCTCTCTGCCGACCTACTCCTCCTCTATTTCTGTTCAGAAAAGGGCAGGCCTGTCATTGGTGTTAACCAAGCATGCACATCAAGTTGAGGAAGAACTAAGCTCCTCTCCTTGTATTAAGGCTGGGAGAGGCAACCCAGTATGAGGACTAGGTTCCCAAAAGCCATCCCAAGTGTCAGGGACAGGCCCCCCGCCCACTGCTAGGAGTCCCACAAATAGACCAACTACACAACCATCACAACTATGTAGAGAGCATGGGTGGGTCCCACGCAGGCTCCTTAGCTGTTGGTCCAGAGCTCCTATGAACTCAGGTTAGTCGTTGCTGTGGGTTCTCTTGTGATGAGCTTGAGCCCACTGCAGGCGTTTTTTACAGCATAGGATTAAATAATAGTAATATCAGTTGGAAACAGATGACCTTCTGGCTGTCCCCAAGGACACAGTGTTTTTACTCTTAGACTGTCTTTTCTCTCTCTCCTGTTGCTGAGCTAGGGGGCTAGGAAATATTTTGGAGAATATTTGAAATAAGCATGTTGGTAGTCTGGGACAGAAGAGCTTTTCCTGGCTCCCAGGCTCTACTTTCTACAAGCTTGAACACACACAACAATTTACCAATAGAATATACATTACACACTCTTGAACAACTCAGCTTTCCTAAGGAGTGAGGGACTCTTGGGGCTGCAGGGCTGCAGAGGGAGAGTCAGGAGGCACTCCAGAAACTAGGTAAGGAGGCCGTGTGGCTCTTGGTACAATAGGATGCTGGAGTAAAAGGGCATAGAAAGTGCAGAGTTTGGGGAAGAATTTGAAGCTAGTATAGGTAGAAATTGCTGAAGGCTTGAACTTGAGAGGACTAGGAACTCCATGGTGACCCTTAGAGTTTTGGTCACACAGACATTTCTTGAGATATGGAAGCCTGAGGAGGCACAGGCTTAGATCAGAGGTTTTGGGGATGAAATTATCCAGTTTTATTATTTATCTCTCTATGAAATTCTATACTTTAAAACATGTTGCAGAAATAGTTCCCATTTCCAGGCCAGGAAGATGCCTCATTGGGTAAAGGCACCTGCTACCAAGCTGGATGACCTGAGGTTGACTCCTGGAACCCAATGGACACAGTGCTGTCACACTTGAACTGTTTTACTGTTTGGTTCCCTCCTTGTCACATACAGAACTAGCCTGTCCCAGGAGGGATGCTGGGAATAGTTTTGAAAGTTGTTCTCTGACCTTCACACATGCAGAGAGGCACACCTGCATCCCACACCACCTCTATGCACATGCACAAAGAGATGAATGCAAAAATATCCAAGCTACTCTCTACTGCACTTTAGCCCACTTCCCCAAACTTTAACAAGGTCTTACATTGTAGCGCAGGTTAGCCTCAAGTGTGCCACTGTCCCACCTCAGTCTCCCAGGGGTTAGGACTACGGATGTGAAAAGTACACTGGCTTAAACTTGAACTTTCATTTTGTTTTTGTTTTTTGAGATGGGTTTTCTCTCTGTAGTTCTGGCTGTCCTGGAACTTGCTCTTTAGACTAGGCTTGTCTCGAATTCAGAGATCTGTCTGCCTCTGCCTCCTGAACTCTGGGATTAAGGGCCTGTGCCACCACACCTAGATTTGAACTTTAACATTTTAGATAACCACGAGACAGTGATCAAACTGAGGAAATCAACGTGAGTACAACACTGTAGACCTGACTGAAATTCTGTCAGCTGCCCAAAGTTCCTTTGCCGAATGAACCGCTCCACTGTGTGATAAAGATGACACTGGGATTGCAGGCGCACGTGGGCATGCTTGGCTTTGTACGTGGGGCCTGGAGGTGGAGCTCAGGTCTTCAAGCTTGCACAGCAAGTGCTCCTATCCATTGTACCATCTCCCAAGGCCCAAGCCCTTTCTGAAATCCTCCCTCCCTCCCTCTCTGCCCCCTTCCCCTCCCTCCCTTGGTCTCTCTCTCTCTCTCCCTCTCTCTCTCTCTCTCTCTCTCTCTCTCTCTCTCTCTCTCTCTGTGTGTGTGTGTGTGTGTCTGTGTGTGTGCGCGCGCGCATGCACACACCAGTGGTCAGCTTCAGAGTGTTATTTCTCAGGTGCTGTCCAATATCTTTTCTGCAATGGTCTTTCACTTACCCTGAGAAGTCACTGGTGAGGCCAGGCTGACAGGGAAGTGCACCCCAGGGAAATATCATGCTATTTCTGCCTTCCCAGCTCTGAGGTTACAAGCACATACCACCACCTCTTCTACTAATTGGGTCTTGGGTTCAAACTCAGGTCTTTACACTTGCAAAGCCGTCACCTCTCCAGCTTCCAGGCTGGCTCTTTGGTGGCTCTCTCAGAGTTCGGGTGGGTTTCCTCAGGATAAAGTTCAAGTGCAGCAGCTCAACCATCCCTGTCCACAAGGCTGGACCACAGTGCTGGCCGGAGATTTAAACTCAGCAAGGAGAATGAGGCTTAAGGCAGTGAGGGCGGGCAGGTGGCCTGGATGGGTGAAAGACTGTGGTAGGGGTGTTGGTGTGAGTATGGGGACTGAGAATAGTGGTAGAGCTCAGAGGAAGGAAGACATGTTCCAAAGATACACACAGAAAGGCGTGTCTTTCTTGGTGGCCCCTTGAAGAGTGTGGAGGTATACGTAGGGAGAAGGAGAGTGATGGGCAATGGCTGGGGACATGTAGCGCCAGCGCTACAGTCTGTTCCACAAATCCGGCGAAGGCCTAGAGATTGAAATAAGAGACGAGACAGCGGGTCATTTGTTCAATGGCGATGTCGGAATGCCGAATGCCATTTATTGAGGGAATGGGGTGGGCTTATATACTGACTTACAGCACAGTGGAAAATAACAGGATTTTCAGGCTTAGCTCCTGTTAGCTTCCTGTTAGCAAAACAGGAAGAGTACCAATAACAGCTCTGGGGCAAGGAGTTCTGGCCAACAGCTTCAGGCTTGCTCAAGGTGCCTGGGAGGGGCGGGGTGTCCATGCACGGCCCTACAGGGAGGGAAAGAGGAGGATGGCTAAGCCTGCCACACAGCTGCCTTTTTCCTGGGCTTCAGAAGAGAGAACTGTCCAGGAGGGACCTTAAGGAGATAGGGAATGTCCCTGCCCACCCTGACAGTCTTCATCAGCTGCCAGAGATAGGAACCTTCTGGGAGAGATGAAGGCCATAACCCATTCACTGAAGGGAGTTTTAGGAATGCCATGGGAGTTGAGAACAGAAAAAGGGGAGCCCTTCCTTCCAGATGTGACTGCCTCAGAACTGTACCCAAGAATGGCTGGGATATACAGCCCTGCATGTATCCACCTGGTGGCACTTATTGCATGAACACGCACACGCGCACACACACACACACACACCACGTGAGTCAACCCAGGGATCCCAAGCACCCACCAGCTAATGCTGTGTAGCTTGTATGCATCACCTATTTTTGTCTCTCCACTGTGGAGTTATGTCATCCTTCACCTGGATAGGGCTTTCTCTGTGAAGCTTCCCTTGATTTTTTTTTCCCATTAGAAGCAATCACTGGAGCATCTTTCCTGGTTCTGTGTCTTTGTATTGTGGTTGTCTGGGTAACTGCGTGATTGTTTAGGAGGAGGAGTTAGCTAGCACAAAACCCGATTGGCACTTTTGATCTGTCATGAAGTTCCAGCTTTGTCCAGTAGGTGGCACCAGGTATCTGTGCAAGACTGTGATGGTGCCTTTGAGTCTGAGGCTGTCTGGAAGAGTCTCTTAGGAAAGATCTACATCCTGCTGTCTAGATTGGGAAACTGAGGAAGAGAAGGACAAAGAGAGGCATGGAGAGAGTGAGAAACCTGACTGACTCATACAGCTGAGTCACAGATTCTTTCTGTCCTCCACCCACTCACCCCCCCATCCCCCAACCCTCATTCCCCGTGCCTGTCCTGATAGGTGCAGGCCTCCCTACAGCCAGAGCTAGGGTCTGGCTAAGTATAGACCTCTGGGGTAGTGGCCCGAGGAGGCACCCTGCTCACACTCAGCTTGAGGCCACATGGTGAGTTAAAGGGCTTGTCTGGCTCAAACTCAAGCAAGACACAGGGCGTCAGCCTTGGCTATGTACCACAGTGCTTCCCCAGAGAAGTAGAGGCAACATGTCTCCACCCTACTGTGATTCCAGGATACACTCCACTATAGCAGCCCCTGCATAGGCACCGTTCTTCATATCCAGATGACTGGTCCCTTGGCCTCAGGAGGAGAAGGCTGGCCCAGGTTGTAAAGGGTTAAGGTTCTTCAACAGAGTTCAAGGCAGGAGTGCCATGGGGCCATTTGCTAGTGTCTCTATGCAGCCCAAGCCCCTACCACATTAATTTTCTAGGGTCCATTTCATGCTGAGCCAAGGGCTAATCTGTTTCCTTTCTAGAGATGAGATAGAGAGGGGAGGTAGAGTCCTAGGACCCCTTCCCCACAACCTCCAGGAAGCCCAGAAGCAAAAGTGGGCCCCAGGGCTGAGCTGAACCTGTGCTTCTGTGATTGGAGTCAAGTCCCTCTCTAAACAGCTGCTCATGAATTGCCTGCCACCTACCTTCTGAGGGCACAGGCCACTCCATCAGGGAGGCCCACTCTATAGGCATTTCTAGAATTCCGGGAGCCCTAACTTTGAAGGTTGTGGGCTCTGAAAGAAGGGTACAAGGTGGGGTGAAGTAGGAGCTGGGGGGTGGTAGGGACAGAAACTGCTCTGAAATGATGGTATTGGGATTCCCACTTACCCAGATACAGTTCCTTGCTGCATCTTCCATTGGCTTTTTTTCATGCACTCCTCACCAGAGTTGGGGTAGAACAGTGAAATTTGGCAAAACCATGGTATGTAGGGCCCATGGGCGTGAAAAAACTCACCACTGACCCATTGTGCTTTAGCCCCCTGGCTTCTGAAAGACTGATGCCTAAAGGAAGCAAGATAATGGAAGGTCCCCTGGGCTTCGGATAAACCTTGTCCTTGGCAGATTCAGGGAGGGGATGTGGAGCTTGGGGAGGTCTGAGTAGGAGACCTTATGCCTGTGGTTCTCAACCTTCCTAATGCTGAGACCCTTTAATACAGTTCCTTATGTTGTAGTGACTCAGACCATACAATTATTTTCGTAACTGTAATTTCACTACTGTTATGAATTGCAATGTAAATATCTGTTTTTCTGATGGTCTTAGGTGACCCCTGGGAAAGGGTTTTTCCACCCCAAAGGGGTTATGACCCACAAGTTGAGAACCACTGCCTTAGACATTTGTTTCTTACCATTGCCAGGCCTGTGAAGTGTGGCTTGGTCTTAAGCCCCTACTAGGGTGAGCTCCTTGAGTTAGAAATGTACCCATTACCTCCAGCAGCTTAGGCACTGCAGGAGAGCTGAACAGACAGGTTGACAATACCTGGCTGGCCCAGGACTAGTGATGGGAATGTCTTTGGAGAGGCAGGGAGCAAAGGCAGACCCCTACCTGACCCCTGACTTCCTTTTCAGGTCGTCTTGCCCCTTTGCTGCTTTGCTGGAGCCTGGGTACTTGTATTTGTCAGTGTCCATCATTCAAATTGTCCACACCTCAGCTAGGAGATCCTCCTAAGAGGGAACATTCAGTGGGCCAGCTGAGGTGGCTGAAGAAACTGCAGGTAGATGGCAGGCTTGGCGTTCTTCTGCTTCCCTCTTCCTCCCCGCCTTCCCACCCAGCATTGGGCGGAGCCACCACCTTATAAGTGGCCGGCCTGGTGGCGGCAGCACAAACTACACCCAGAAGCTGGATCAGAGGACAGCTCCTTTTCCCCGAGCATGGCCCGGCAGGCTTGGGCCATCTGCTGCCTCCTGGGGACCCTCCTGCTCCATGGGGGCAGCCCCAGGCCTGGTCCCAGCCCCAATGTGCCTCGTCTGCGGCTCTCCTACCGAGGTACTGGCTGGTGCTGTCCTGTTTGTGCGCATGTTGTGAATGTCTGTGGCTCTAGGACATCCCTCAGTCAGCCTGCAACAATAGGCGTAGAGTCAGGCCCTTTGGGAAAGGCTTCCTGGTCAGCCCCTGGATGGTGCTCGAGATGACCATGGGCAGGAAAGGTGGACACATCCTGGGAGCCATGGTCAAAGTGGGAGACTGATGCAGGGTGGAAACTGAGGAAGCTGCTACAAGGGGAGAGAGGGAGATGGAAGCCGTGAGGTGGGAGGGGGCAGAGGGACAGGGCAGAAGGGAGGTATAGACAGGGTCTGGGCAGACACCAAGGGCAGACACAAAAAGTCTGTGCTAGTCACAGGGAAGGGGGCAGCCTCTCCCACCTTTTGCAGCCTGCCCTGGCTAATCATCCGAGCTCACTTTATCATCCCCTCTCCATCTGTAGTCCAGAAGAGTCTCTGCTTCCCTCTACCCAGTTGTGTGTGTGTGTGTGTGTGTGTGCACGTGTGAGTGTATGCATTTATGTGTGTATGTGCACCTGAGTGTGTGTGTGTCCAATTGGTACGTGTGTGAGTGTGTGCATGTGTGTGCGAGTGTATGCATGTATGTACATGTGTGCGCACATGTGTGTGCAAGTGTTTGCAAATGTGTGCATGTGTGTGCACAGAGGTGGTCCTCTGTTCTAACCCAGCTGTATGATAATGCCTCCTTTGATGGTCTATGGGGAAAGATGATTGAGACAAAGATTTCATTATAGATTCTTCAACAGAAAATATATTGTGCTTATTATAGATTGATTGATTGATTGATTTTGAAAGAGTGGATGAGAGAGAGAGAACTAGGTGCACATGTCTAGGTCATGTTGCACATGTGTGAAGGTCAGAAGACAAGTTGTAGGAGTGGGTTCTTTCCTTCCACCATGTAAGGTCTGGGGATCAAACTCAGGTTGTCAAGTTTGGCAACAAGTGTCTTAACCTGCTGAGCCATCTCACCAGCCCTGCAGACTCTTCTTGGAGAGAAGAATCACCTTTCCCATAGGAAGCTCAGTTAGAAGGCAGATGGTCCAAGCTTGCTGTGGAGAGCAAGGGGGGAAGTTGCCCTTGTTCCGGGAGTTGAGGCTTCGAGGGAAGATCAGGCTGTTAGAAATGGGCCTGCAATGGGGAAGTTTCAGAATTTATATCAGCTGAGGAGGGCTTCCTGAAGAGGCCACCAATGAGTTTGGGGATGGAGAGGAGTGCATGAGGAGCTCTAGGCAAAGGGCTCTGGATCCTTCCAGAGTGACAAATCTGCCAGTCCTTTGTGGAGGTATCACTCCCATCTCCCCAAGGAGCTATATCAAGACCTACAACTCTTGGGGCCCTTGATCCCTCCATCTCTGGGGTCAGCTGGCAGGGCAGTGTCTCTAAGAGAATGTTATTTGCCCACCATTCTGAGGCTGGAGTTCTGTCTGGTGGTGCCTAATCTGCTAATCTGCCCTGTGCCACGGTGTTCCCTCTGCCTGGACCTGTCTTCCTTCCCAGTGGAGCCAGTCTTGCAAGTGTTCACATTCTTCCACTTTCTTCCTGGCTCTCCAAGCTCTTTGCCAGGCTTGCTGACATAATTTCTGTTGGTGAGGCTGTCTTCCCTGGGCACTTAGTAAGGACCAGGCAGGATCCCGGGAAGCTGTCATGTGAAAGTTGAAGGGTCTGAAGAATGGAGGATGGAGGGTTAATGGAAATTTGTTTGGTGTCAGAATGCTTGGGTGCCCTAAGTTTAGTCTCAAGGACCACTGAAAAAAGAAAGAGCCGGGTGTCGGTGGTGAACGCCTTTAATCCCAGCACTCAGGAGGCAGAGGCAGGCAGATCTCTGTGAGTTCAAGGCCAGCCTGGTGTACAAAGCGAGTTCCAGGACAGCCTCCAAAGCTACACAGAGAAACCCTGTCTCAAAAACAAAAACAAAACAAAAAAAGAATGAAGGTAAACTGGGCCAGATTGGGTGAGGACTGAGAGCTGCTTGTACTACTTACCCCAAGAATCATGTCCAAAAAAGCAACCCTGTGTGTGGGGACATTTTCCAGATGTATGTGTGTGATGAGTGTGCAGCTGGGACCCCCATTCCCTGGACCTGACTGGGGATGTAGGCCAAGTAGCAGTCCCTAACCCGCTTCCTCGATCTCTGCTAGATCTCCTGTCTGCCAACCGCTCTGCCATCTTTCTGGGCCCACGGGGCTCCCTAGACCTCCAAGTCATGTACCTGGATGAGTATCGGGATCGTCTCTTTCTGGGAGGCCGCGATGCCCTCTACTCTCTGAGGCTGGATCAGGCATGGCCAGACCCCCGGGAGGTGAGCAGGACTGATCAGGGAGGAGGTGGACACCTCCAGATGGGAGGCCAGATGGAGAACTTGTGACTATGAGTTTAAGGACATTGAAACCCTGGCTACGTTTCAGGTCTTGTGGCTGCCACAGCCAGGACAGAAGGCAGAGTGTGTCCGAAAGGGAAGAGACCCTTTGGTGAGTGTTATTGACAAGAATCTCTGCAGACCACTCAATACCAGGCCTTGGTTCTCAAAATGGCCTGCAGCCACGCCCCTGGTGCCTCTGCTTGGAGCATTCCGAGCAGATCCTGAGTGCTTGGGGAGGTCTGGGAAGAATGTGACCTTCACCGATGTCCTCAGAGCCGCCATGAAGCAGAGCTGAGCCTTAGAGCTCAAGGACATGGCGTACTTCTCCCTCACCCTTGGGCCCCTCCCTTCTGCAGACAGAGTGTGCCAACTTTGTACGGGTCTTACAACCCCACAACCGGACCCACCTGCTGGCCTGCGGCACTGGAGCCTTCCAGCCCATCTGCACTCTTGTGGCAGTGGGGCATCGAGGGGAGGTGAGCCTGGGCCTGGCCCCACAAGACATTGGGAGGCAGTGACATTTCCTCTCTGCTGTCTGAACGCTTCCCATTGATCCAGGGTAGGGCAGAGGGGGAAGGGGCTTGAAAGGCGCCTTTGTGCTGGGGAGCTGACCCCATCCAAGGGGCCTTGATTGAGGGTTTCTTCCCAGCCCCCAGCCCTATGCCCCAGCTGCACGCAAAGGTCATTGCCTGGGTTGAGGCCCTGCTTCCTTCTCAGGTGACAACCCTCTGTGCCCTTCTATCTCTAGCATGTGCTCCACCTGGAGTCTAGCACTGTGGAAAATGGAAGGGGACGCTGCCCACACGAGCCAAGCCGCCCCTTCGCCAGCACATTTGTAGGTGGGTAATACCAAGTTAGAGTGGGCCAGGAGAGTGAGAGTTGGCCTGTGGCACTGGTAGGCCTGGCCCTCTCTCCTGACTCTAGTCCCTTCTAGGTGGGGAGCTGTACACAGGCCTTACTGCTGATTTCCTGGGACGTGAGGCCATGATTTTCCGGAGTGGGGGTCCCAGAGCAGCTCTGCGTTCTGACTCTGACCAGAGCATCCTACATGGTAAGGCTGCCTGGGACCCATCTTTCTAACTAGGATGATAGAAGATGGATAGAATGTGACACAAGATGGACAGGCCACACCCCCAGCTCCTGGGGTAAGGGAGGCATGTGGCATTCCCTGTCACACCATTACCCTGTCACTCTCCAAGACCCCCGGTTTGTGATGGCTGCTCGAATCCCAGATAACTCTGACCGGGATGATGACAAGGTCTACTTCTTCTTCTCTGAGACTGTCCCATCGGCAGATGGCAGCCCAGGTCACGTCACCATCAGCCGTGTGGGCCGAGTCTGTGTGGTAAGAACTGTGGTGGGATGGTGAGGTTCAAGACCCCTGTTGTGACATCTTTCCTAGACTGTCTCTGCACTGTGGGGAGGCTGAGGCAGGGTAGCAGTACTGACATCCATACCTCGCCCTCTGGCTGGGGTGGAGGGACAGGAGTGGGGCTCACCCTCATGGGGCATGAAGCCAACCTCAGCCTCCATCCCCAGAATGATGCTGGTGGCCAGCGGGTGCTGGTGAATAAATGGAGTACGTTCCTCAAGGCCAGGCTGGTCTGCTCTGTGCCTGGCCCTGCTGGGGCTGAGACTCACTTTGACCAGTTGGGTAAGGGAATGGCCAACCAGGACTGGGTTCCGGGAGTAGGGAGGGCTCAGAGTGGGTAGGTGGGAGCATTGGCAGACTCTGTAATGCTCATGCCTCCTTCTGTGTCCCAGAGGATGTGTTCCTGCTGTGGCCCAAGGCAGGGAAGAGCCTTGAGGTGTATGCACTGTTCAGCACTGTCAGGTAGGCACACTTGGCTTCCCGCACCCAGCCACCCCTGCCCGGTCTCCGGTACCCCTGGTTTCTCTGTGTTGAGCCTCTGCTCTCATGTCTTTCGGTTATCGCTCTCCCTGTTTTGGCAATGCTGTGACCATCTTCTCAATCTATCTCTGTTTCGCCGTTGTCTCAGTGTCCTGTGTTCTAGTCTCTGTCTTCAGCAGACATTGTCATCTTCTTTGTCACCTATCGAGCCAGCTTGCGACACCTCCAACCACCGTGGCCTGGCCTGACTGTCCCTGTTTGTCCTTGGCAGTGCTGTGTTCCAGGGCTTTGCCGTCTGTGTGTATCACATGGCTGATATCTGGGAGGTCTTCAATGGGCCCTTTGCCCACCGAGATGGCCCTCAGCATCAGTGGGGACCTTATGGGGGCAAAGTGCCCTTCCCCCGTCCTGGTGTGGTAAGTAGCTGCTTGGGACCAGGCAGAGGAGCTCTAAGTACATGGTGGTGGGGTGTGTGTGTGGGACTCCTCCATGGAAAAGCTTCAGGTTTACAGTCATCCTGTGGCAGGGATGGGCTGGGCCTGCAGAGGGCTTGGAAGAACAGCTTCTGCTGTGTGCGTGGCTCTGTGGAGGTGGAGGGGCCTGGCAGTGCCATCCTAGGAACTTCAAGTGTTCCCTTTGCTGCTGCTTGCAGTGCCCTAGCAAGATGACTGCACAGCCAGGGCGACCCTTTGGCAGCACCAAGGACTACCCGGATGAGGTGCTGCAGTTTGTCCGAGACCACCCACTCATGTTCCAGCCTGTGAGGCCTAGGCGTGGCCGCCCTGTGCTGGTCAAAACTCACTTGGCTCAGCAGCTGCGCCAGATTGCAGTGGACCGAGTGGAGGCTGAGGATGGGACCTATGATGTCATCTTCCTAGGGACTGGTAGGAGGGACAAACAGAGGTAGCCCGGTTTGTGGAGAGGGGTAGTTCCTTCCTTCTTGTTTCTTTAACCCTTCTTACCCCGCTCCAGATTCAGGTTCTGTGCTCAAAGTCATCGCCCTCCATGTGAGTGATGTGGATGAGCCTGAAGAGGTAGTTCTGGAGGAGCTCCAGGTGTTTAAGGTGAGCAGGGGTTCATGAGAGGCTGCACCCCCATTGGGGGGGGGCTGGGATAGACTCCAGGGAGTGACCCGAGGGGATAGGCTCAAATCATGGCACACAGTGCCCAAGGAGCCCTGGGTCGCTTCTGAATCACTGGAACAGCTGGGGTAGCAGAGTGTGGACTCAAATGCCTGGTTCTTTCTGGGGAGGGAGAGCCAAGGTGAGCACCTTTGACAAAGCCTTGTCAGGCTCAACTTACAGTAACAAAGTGGCTGAGATCCCAAGTCCCCACAAGTTCTCCTCCCCCCATATCTGGACAGGGATTGTCTCTGTTTGGGGGGCTATTTTGCCTCTGGAAGTGAGGTGATTTAAGGCTGGTCCACAGCTGGGGAACATTGTGGGAGGGGACAGTGGAACTGTGTGCCAAGCCTCCCACTTGGCCTGGAGGCCAGCCAGGATGAGGGGACCTTTCTGTATATCAGGGAAGGATGATCCAGCTGTTTGTTTATTTGAGACTAGTTATATACATGTATCTTGCTATATATCCTTAGCTGGCCTAGAACACATTATATAGGCTAAAGTGGACTCAAACTCAGAGAAATCTAGCTGCCTCTGCCCCCGCCCCCTGTGTTATCATACCCAGCATCTGTTTGTATTTTTGAGACCATGTTTCTCTGTGCAGCTCAGCTTAGACTGAGACTTATTATATAGAGCCAGCTGGCTTTGACCTCTCCATCTTCCTGCCTTAGCTGCTCAGGTGCTGAGATTACAGGCAAGCACTGCCTTTCCCCATCCCATCCATCCTTTGCTGCCAGGAGGTACACTGATCAGGTGGGGGCGGGGGGGCTGGCAACTGACTCCTACACAGGGCTTGTGGAATGATAAATGCAAGGATTCTGTATATAGCCTTCACCAGTCCATCCTAAGCTCCTATTGCTTCTCTAGGTGCCAACACCCATCACTCAGATGGAGATCTCGGTCAAAAGGGTAAGGCCCACCCCTTCCCCATACCTTGGATTCTATCAGAGAGCCGGGCCCATGGGATTTGATTATGTCTTGCAGCTTAGGCCAGGTCCAGCTGGGAACAGAGCTTCATTCGTTCAGATAAAGCTGCAAAAGCCCCTGGGGAAACCGCTAAAGGACACCAATGGGTTTGGGAACAAAATCCAGATTTCTAATGAAACAAGGTTACTCCTTTCAGTGGCAAGCCATATGCTGTTAACCAATCGCAAATGCTCTTTGTCCCTGTTTGTCTTTAGGTAAAATCTTGTTTACATTGGGTGTTGGTGGTGCTCGCCTTTAATCCCAGCAAATGGGAGGAGGCAGAGGCAGACGGATCTCTGTGAGTTCTAGGCCAGCCTGGTCTACAGAGCTAGTTCCGAGACAGCCAGGACTACATAGAGAAACCATGCCTCATTTAAAAAAAAAAAAAAAAAATTCTTGTTTAAGGTGTATGTGTGTGAGTGCATGCTCCTCAAGCCTGCCTGCCTGCCTGTCTGTCTGTCTGTGTAGAGGCTAGAGGACCTCCTCAGATGTCATTCCTGAGTGCTGCTCACCTTTCTCTGAGACAGTGGGGTCACCATATCCTGCATTGTTTTTTGCTTTTGTTTTTCATGTAGTTTCTGAAGACTCAGGCACCTGACTGACTGAGCTATCTCCCTAGCCTCTGGGAGCAAATCCCAATATTTTAAATTTTTAAAAAATATCCTGCCGTCACACTCAAATTGCAGTGAGTAAGTAGCTGAGTCTACAGGGCCCTAAACATTCTCCTGGCAAATGGAGGCGGAGATAGAGATTCCTTCTTTTTACTACACGGGATGCTGGAGAGCAAACTCAGATGGTCAGGTTAGGTGGCCGGTACCTTTACCTACAGAGCCATCTCACTGGTTCAGATCTCAGCTTTTATATAGGGATTTATATAGGGACTTAGATGAGTCCCTATATAATCCTACTGGCTACATGGGGCCAAGGACAGCTATGAATGTGGCCTAACACAAAATCATAAACTTACTTAAAACATGAGTTGGTGTCCATCCCCCCACCCCCTTTCCCGTTTGTTTTTGATAACTCAGTTGCTCATACTACGTGAACTTTGAAGATGACAGGATCATATCACAATGTTAAAAGATGGGCCATGCCTGCAAGGCACAATTCTGGAGTCAGAGGCCAATCACACAAAGTCCCTTAGGCTAGGGTATAAAGGCTGACAACAAAGAGGGCCTGAAGAAACCTCTTACGGAAAAGCTTCCGGGCCACTCCTACCTGCTCACAGCCTAGCACATGATCTGGAATACATTCAGCGTCTCTAGTCTTGTGAATGTTTCTGGAAACCTTCCTGAAACTGACGGGTGTCAGCAAAATCTCGGGGGAGAGCCTGTCGATGAAGCCCAGCTCACTGGGGTGCTGTTTGTGTTCCTTCAACCAGCAAACACTGTACGTGGGCTCTCCGCTGGGCGTGGCTCGGCTGCAACTACACCAGTGCCAGACTTACGGCAGTGCCTGTGCAGAGTGTTGCCTGGCCCGGGACCCATACTGTGCTTGGGATGGTGCTTCCTGTACCCGCTACCGCCCCAGCTTGGGCAAGCGCCGGTTCCGGTTCCGTAGGCAGGACATCCGACATGGCAACCCTGCTCTGCAGTGTCTGGGCCAGGGCCAGAGCCACCACAGTGAGTGGTGGGCTTGGGATGTGGGTCAGCCTGTGAACTGGGGTCCATCCTTGGGAAGCACGGGCTTAGAAAAGTCCTATTGTAATAAAGTACTCAGTTTCCCTATCTATGCAGCTACACTCAGGACTTGAGGGCAGCATCTGCTAGCACTGAGTGTGGCTTGTGATTGATGGATGTCTGAGTCCTTATTACACAGGTGTCCCATCCTATGCAAGTTAGTTTGTGGCCCTCAGAGCCTGGGTCCCTGAGTTCCCAAGCTGATCTGACCTGGTCCTCTCTACAGAGGAGGCTTCAGGACTGGTGACCAGAGTCTTTGGCACAGAGCACAACAGCACCTTCCTTGAGTGTCTGCCCAAGTCTCCCCAAGCTGCAGTGCGCTGGTTCTTACAGAGGCCAGGAGATGAGGGGACCGACCAGGTGAGTGAACAACATGTCTTGAGATCCTCTTCTCTCCCTGAACCCGCAAACCCTAAGCTCTAGAAAGGGACTCTGGGATGAAGTGGCAAAAGATCATCCTAAGAAAAATTATACCCCGGATACCTATAAGGACCTACCCATATTTCTGCTTCTGGGCATGCCTAAGCTGGATATAGCTACACTCCTTAGTACGTGAAGGGAATGGCAGAGGTTAAAGAGAAGGAATCGGGTTTAAGTTAGTCTGGAAGTTCTTATGTTAACACATGTGGCTCAGCTTTGAAGGGATCTCTTCCCTAGAGTTTCTTAATTTTTCTCTGCCTCAAGCCTGGTCCCTGACCACTACATTACCTCCTATTCCTGGCCCTATTCTTCTTCCTGAGAAGCCAGTTGTCTGCCCAAGCCCTCTTCACCCTGTGACTGGGAAGGTCTACGAACCCCCAAGATGGCTTCAGTCTGGGGTGTGGGCAGAGCAGAGTTGGGAAGGGTTTTCCCATGGGGAGGGAAAGAAACATAGGGGTGTGATTATAGGAGGGGCTCTTCCTCCAGCTTGGGAGCCAGAGAGGGCAAGCCTGGGACCAGCTGTAGGGTTGGGCACTGAGGAGACTCCCTGGAGTAGGGGGAGCAACAATATGAAGTTACACAATGCTAACCACCCAGGCTGTTCACCCTCGGCGCCCAGATGCACAGACAGGGTTAGTAGAGGAACTTGGGATCAGAGCCAGCTCTTGCCTCCCACACTCAAGTGGGCACTTAGCCTACCACAGGCTTGGGCTGTGGGCCTCACACTGTGGGGGAGTGAATAGGACAGACCAAGACAAGGAAAAGCCAGCAATACTGCTCCTGTGTGTGTGTGTGTGTGTGTGTGTGTGTGTGTGTGTGTGTGTGTGTGTTTGTAGAATTTTCCTTAGCTCAAAATAAAACCTCATTAGACATGCACCTAACTCCTCTGCTTCCTGGGTAATCCTGCAGACCTTATGAAGCTGGTGCCTTAGGGCTCTGACCTGGGGACACACAGCCATTCAGTATTGGAGAAGCCTCCTTCATAGGTCCTTGTCCTATGCTGTGGGAAGATGAAGACCTTCCTGCCTGCAGTTAGCTCATGGTCTGCCCTGAGAACCTGTCACACTGCTAGATCCATCCTGGGGAGGAGGGAATACACAAAAGGGAGGGCCCAAGGCTTGGACTCTGAGGATGGCAAATGTGGGAAAGCAGGGCAAAGAAAATGAGGTGAATGCCCCAGCTTTTTGATAATGTCTCCTGTGCCTTCCTACACACCCTGTAGGTGAAGACAGATGAGCGAGTTGTACAAACAGAGCAGGGGCTGCTGTTCCGGAGGCTCAGCCGCCTTGATGCTGGAAACTATACATGCACCACACTGGAGCACGGCTTCTCCCAGACTGTAGTTCGGTTTTCTCTGGAGGTGATTGCAGCCATGCAGCTGGATAGCCTGTTCCTTCGGGAGCCAAGGCTAGAGGAGCCCTCAGCCTGGAGAGGCCTGGTCTCTGCCTCACCCAAGACTTGGTATAAGGACATCCTTCAGCTTGCTGGTTTCGCCAACCTACCCCGTGTGGATGAGTACTGTGAGCGTGTATGGTGTAGGGGGGTTGGGGAGCGCTCAGGCTCCTTCCGGGGCAGGGGAAAGCAGGCTAAGGGCAAGAGCTGGGCAGGGCTAGAGTTGAGCAAGAAGGTGAAGAACCGGGTGCTGGCTGAGCACAATCGGACACCCCGGGAGGTAGAAGCCACATAGAAGATGGCTGAAGAGGGAGGGGGTGGTCAGGCTGGGCTGGGGGACTCAACAGCATCTCCCTCCCACCCAGCTTGGGCAGAGGAGGCCAGGGCACCTGGTTACCTCCTAGAGATGGAAATCTCTACTACCTACAGGAAAAACTAGAGCCTCGTAGGAGGGGCCATGCATTTCAGCCTACTCCTGTTCCTGTCTGTGCTCTCAGTCCCAGGCTAGAGCTGGCACCTCCTGACCACTTGTAGTCAGTCCCAAGGGACCTGCTATTTGTTCTCAGAGATGGCGTGGCTTCCGGAGCACATTTCCGGCTGTGCCCAAAGGCAGGAGTGTTGGGTGGTATTTTCTCAGCTTGCAGAACAATGGCCATCCTGGGAGGATGTATGGGTGGCTCTGAGGGGACACACTGGCAGTCTACCTTGTAAGCTGGCGCCTGTGAAGAAACACTTGCTCCAACAAAGTTGTGAAAGAAGATGGCAGAGTGAGGAGACAGGAGAGCACTGTTCCCTGCCTCCATGCTTTGGTATCGAGATGTTTCCCTGCCTCAGCCCACCACCATCTCATACTTAACAGAGGCAGAAATGGCTGGAACCTGGAGGTGGCTTGGCTCCCCTTTCACACCAGTTAGAGTTGTCTCACAATATGACACCTCACCATCAGGACCACTCCCTGAGGCTCAGGAGGAGGGCCTGTGGGGCAGAGAGGAACAAAGCAGCTGCAGGATGGGAGCAGGAAGCAGCTACCTCTCTAAGGGGGAGGTGGCACACTCAGGCCTGTGTGGTTAGGAGTGGGCTCTCTGAGAACTGCAGCCTGTGGTCTGGGGCCACCAGAGGTGGTATCTTGGGTCCATGACAGGTGTCCTCAAGAATCAAAGTGACATCAGTCAGTCCAGGAGTCATCAGACAGGCCAGATATTTCCAACCCTGGAGTCTGTACTTTCTGCCGTACACAGGGTGGTCATGATGGTTCATTTGTAAGACTCCTATGTTTTTTGTGGTACTTGGGATTGAACCCAGGGTCTCATGCATGCTAGACAAGTGCTCTACCACTGAGTTATGTCCCAGCAATCCCTCTTTCTTTCCAATGGGAGGTTGTGGAAAAGAAAGCTGGTGTCAAGGGCACATGTGGCCTGGGCTGTAGGGAGGAGTTTGGCCATCAGCAGTCTCTGCAGCTGGGGAGCAGAGTGGGGGAGGAGGACAATTAAATGAAAAGTTATTCCCAGCCTAAGGGTGAACAAGTTAGTGACGCACAAGACAGACTAGAGGGCAAGTCTGAGATGGTGCCTTTGAAAAGAAGGAAAAAGAAGAAAAGAGGGCGGGCAGAAGATGAAAAGCAAGATAGAGAGGCTCTCACTCCACTGAAGTTCAAACCTTGTGTTTATTTCCTCTCTCCTGGCACCCCTAGGGTGCTGGGATCTGAATGTGCAAACAGAAGCTCTGAAATCCACCTGCTCAAACCCAGATTCCTTCTGCTTGTGGACACGGCCCTTGGGATATTGGCGGATGAAGGAAGAGGAGAGAGGAGTGGGTGGAAGCCCGAGGGAAGAAGGGATGGGGAGACAGAGGAGATGAACAGAGTAGAAGAGACCCGGAGAAGACAGAAAGTGTCAACCTAGCCCTCAGTGGCCTTTGGACCAAGTCTAGGTTTGAGACACTCTGGGTAGGACCCTCTGGGGAAGTGGCTCTGGAGTACACAGGGATAAGGAACTCAATATGCTCAACTATGCACCCCTAGATTGGGAATAGGACAGCTCCTGCAGACAGCCACCCTTCATGGTACTGTAGTATGAGCACCCGGGAATACCCATATGTGTGATTTGTGTTTGTGTTAGTGTTTTGAAGTGGACCTTTTGGCTTCTTGGTCTTCCAAGCATACTATTGAAATTGCTATTGATATTTTTATTGTTTGTGGTTGTCTTTGAGCTCTGACGAGGAAAGCAGAGCCCATAAAGGGATGAAAAAATATTTATACCACCCAATTACATCATGACTGTATCTGTGTGGTTTTGTTCACAACTGATGCCTGTGTGTTCCCGGAAATGGTCAGCCTAGATGGCATTTTTCTAGCAAACAGAGCAATGTATGACAGCGGAAGGACTCAGAGGGTTTTGCCTATAAAACAAAGCTTGCTCAATACACAAGGAAAATCCTGTCCTGAGGGCTTATAAAATTGACCTTTTTGGAACGTCAGGATTTTGAGGGGGCAGACAGGCACGTAGGCAGCTCAGCTCCTTTTTTCACAACTCTTGACATTTGTAACAGTGCCTCTTAGCCTGGTACTGCCTTCATTCCAAGTCATACACTAATGTATATTAAAGCCAATGAAATCATGCCCAGGATGGGTTAGACTACAGCTGGGCAGGAAGGGAAGCCTCCTGGGCATGCTCAGAAGGCTTTCTGACCATGATTGCTAGTGCTCCAGTGACGTGTGACATCCTTCCCAAAGTATGGACTACACCGATGCCAGGGGGAGATGAGAGGGGACCCAAAATGGCAGGAACACTTCAAAAACAGAGGGGGACATCAGCCTACCTCCCCAGGAAGCTGGCTGCGGCATCTAGCTTGGATAGGTCCCTTGGAGATTAACAAAACAGGTCAGCCATTGGTTTCATCTTGTAGGTTGGTCCTGGAGCCAGGTCCTCTTTTTACCCGTGCCCTCTACAAACACCTAGGCTTGATTGAACCTGAAGCACCAGCACCATTGCCCCACCTCAAGCCATCATCACCACTGACTAAGAGACATCACCATTGCACTTACTTATCACTGGTCTGGCAAAGAGTACAGATGTGGCCCCTGTAACCCTCTCTCCCCTTGGCCATACCACGCAGCCCCTTCTCCCGGCTGTCACTGCCACCTCCCATCTTCCCTCCCCCTCACTTCTTAGCTCAGGCCCAATTTCCGGCGTTAGTGATTTCACCTTCTCTCTATCTTGCTCTTGCAGCTTTTTCCTCTGAGGCTCATACTTCCCTTGCTGTCTGGACCCCTGGTTCATGATTTCCCAAACAGGCTTAGAGCTGAAAAGAAGCGCAGACAAAGAGACTAGTCAAGTGTTGCCAAAATAGTGTCCTGTCAACTGCTAACCCTAGGAAACCCTCCATGACCTCCCGGTCTCTATGATTTGTCAGATTCCAGGGTCTCTGTGCTCATGGCTGCCCCAGGCCTGGGGCCGCTGCCCTGTGGACCCCTTCGATGGCCTCTCACCCATCTCCTCCCTACTGTGGCATGGCCTGCTGTCTCTTGTTTTCATTTTTGCAGAGCTGCTAACTAACACCTTATTTCTAATGTCCTGAAGAGCACATTTTTAAGAAGTGCTGATTAGATTAATTCCTTCCCTTTACACATGAAATTAATTTGTTAATAGTTGCCTCCCAAGTCGGTAAACACTGGAGGCCCTGACTCCCAGATGTCAGTCTCTACTTCCTTCACCAAAACAGGCCCTTCCACCCTGGGCGCAGAGCTGTAGAGCCACTAACCAGCTCAGGAGCTGTGGGTCTGGGGTCTTTCCTGCTCTGGCTGCCATTCCCCTACCCAGCATGCTTCCTCATTCTCTTGCAGCTCTTCTAGTGTCTAGCATGTTTATTTATCTGTGTGTGTATGGGGGAAAGAGTGCTTGAGTTTTACTCAAGCCTGTGGCTGTCCTAAAATTGAGCAGAACAGTCTCTCAGGGAGGGTGGGGAGCGTGTCAAAACAAGCGGGAGCAGCCCCCTTTGCTGTCTCAAGTGGCTTCTGTGCTGCTCTCCCATCTAGTCCAGCTTGGGTCAGGTCCTAGACACCCAAAGAATCGTGACGAGTGGGTATGCAGCAGCTACCAGGAGACTGCCTCCTTTAAGACAGTGCCCTCTCAGCCTGGCTCCCTGGAAGGCCAATTCACATGCCTCTGTCAGCCCAGGAAATGGAGGCTTCTCTATGTAGCACCCCCCCAAAAAAAACCAAACCAAACCAAACAAACAAAACCCTATAGCTCTGGCTGTCCTGGAACTCACTCTGTAGACCAACCAGGCTGGCCTCTAACTCACAGTGATCCACCTGCCTCCCAAGTGCTGGGAATAAAACAACGCCTGAGCACTGTTTTTAAAAGTAGGAGAGAGGTACTCAGAAATAATCTAGTTTTCATCGAAATAACGACTCAGCCTAGTCTCACTGTGTCCTGGGCTGCAGGGGGTGGGGCACTCCACGAGGAGAGGCTTGAACACACAACAGAAACCAATCTCTGTTTTCCTAAGACTACAAACTTGGAGAGAAAGGAGTAGGCAGGGCCAGATTTGGACGCAGTATCTGATAAGAAGCTTGGGGATTGTTGGGGTCCCGCCCGGCTCCTTTTCCGGACTCACCGTCCTCTCTGGTGTATTGGAGATGAGGAAGGCAGCAATGGCCTGGTGCCCATCCCCCCCCCAGCCTATTCACCTTGGCCCCCTTTCCTCCAAGGTGGCCTTATAACGAAGCCTTTCACTTTCTTCACTGGAGTTCCATTAAGGAAATTTCTAGTTCCTCAATCACTCTCTGTCAGGGGGGTAAGAACTGTTGCGAAGTCTCCAGGGAGGCTTGGCAGGGCTGCTGGGCTTTCTTCCCACAGGCCTCCAGCCAGCTGGTAGCCTATTCCCAGGAGCTCTGCTGCTGGGGGGATGCAGGGAGGAATAGGCTCAAAGTCTAATCCGGCACTGATAACTGTTTCCGATGAGTTTACCATTGGACAGAGAGGAACAATCAATGCCATCAGAAAGCTGTGACCTGATTAGGATTCCAAGGTGACTTTATAAAAAAAAAAAAAAAAAAAAAAAAAAAAAAGTCCTAGAATAAAAGAATCCAGGTGTCTACCTTCAAATAAAAGGGACTATACTAGGGTCACCAGATTGGCCTGTTGGGAGGTCAAGGCAGCTCTGCTCTTACAGATACGGATATAGAAGAATGACACGTCAGAACAGCAGCTTACTTTGTGGACATGATCTCATTGTGCATACCCCCTCCACCCGCCTCAGCTGATAAGAATCTGGTGCTGTTTCCTGTAGTCCAAGGGTCTAGGACAATAGTGTGAACGGCTGGCCCAAATGGAAAGGGCATTGTTCAGGGGAGAAAAAAACAACACCCCAACACAAAGCCAGGGCAGGATCTGTCTAAATGTAAGAGCCTGTTTACAAATTCACCATTTCCAAGGAGCAGAACACAATGGGGGCTTGTTTCCTTGAGGATGGTGTCCCTTCTAGTCTGATCCTGATGGCTAGGGATGGCTTTGATGGCCCAGACGGGTTTCAGATGGACTTAGACGGATGGACACTGATGGCGCGGATGCCTTCCTGTTTATCAGGCATACATGCAGGCTAAGGTCAAGAAGTCAGGGTCAAGGGGGAGGGCCTGCCAGGCTTCACTCCTCCATCTGGGCCTCACAGTGTCTGATCCTTTAAAATGGTGTTTCCTTTCCTTGCTTAGTCACAAAGGAGTCTTCTTTCATCTGGTGGCCTCCGTGATGCTGTGATTCACCTCCTGACAGCCTGGACCACGGGGTGGAGGTGGTGTTGACACTCCACCGTGGCAGGGCCAGTGGAGATGCGGCCTTTCACAGCATCTCTGCCCTGTCCATGCCTCTGGACCATCAGCCACAGGTGGTGACTGTGTGTGGGTATCTGCATGTGTGCTAGTGTGTGTGTGTGTGTGTGTGTGTGTGTGTGTTTGTGGTAAGGAGGCAATGCAGAACATCAATTAGAACCATATTAAATATCCCTTGGGACTGGAAGTCACCAGTTGGTGGTGAAGGAAGGCAAGCCAGGGTTAGGAAGGCCGCTTTCCGCCTAGAGGAACTATAAAGGAATTCTTGTTTAAGTGGTAGTGTCATTGTTAGCTTGAATACTCATCTTTAACCCTAACATAAATACACCTCATGAATAAACTTGAACTAATGTGTTTAGAACAAGTGAGGCACATTAATGCTGTGTAATTCCTGAAACAGAAACAAGCTTTTCATAGTCTTATTCCTCAGCATGCTAATACTGCCCTCTGGTGTTTAATACCAGAACAACATGATCAAGAACCCAGTGTGGATAAGCAAACTGCGAGGCTTCGAAGGTGGCTGGGCTAGGCACCACAAAAAAGAAGAATGGCTAACAAAACGGGTCTCTGACTTCAAGGGGCTTCCAATCCAGCAGTTGAGAGACCTACAATTGTAGGATTGACTGAGGACATATCCTACAAGGGCACAAGCAGACCAGAAGTGAGAAGCCAGTGACAAAGAGGTGGCCATTGCATTCAGTTCAACAGGCTGAGGACAAAGTTAGGGCTCTCAACTCTGGAGTTAGGGCTCTGCACTCAGGGGACCTGAGGCCCAGACTTTCAGAAATGAACAGGGCAGAATACCCTTGGGTGGGATGTTGTGGGAGATGTAGCTGTTCTGGCCCTATTTGCAATAAGGCCACAGATATCAACCCTAAGCAAAAACTACCATGTGTTATATGGTAACTAATAGAAGGAACACTGACAACTGGCAATGGCAGAAGAGGAGAACAAAAATGTGAAAAACAGGGGCTGGAGAGATTGCTCAGTGGTTAGGAGCACAGGCTGATCTTCCAGAGGTCCTGAGTTCAATTCCAAGCAACCACAAGATGGCTCAGAAACCATCTGTAGTGACATCTGGTGCCCTCTTCTGGCCTGCAGGGATACGATGCAGACAGAATACTGTATACATAATAAATCTTTTTTTAAAAATGTGAAAAACAGATGAGTTGGCAAGAAAGGTTGGTCAGGGAGGAAGCACAATGGAATCCAGAGGCCTCTGGCCCTCACTGGTGGCCCCTAGACCCAGGTCCTGGCACAGGGAAGCAACACAGAGAAGCATGGGCACTGGACGGTTTCACTGAACATTTATTTCTGTCCTTCACAAAGGAAGCATCTGTTCAGGCTCTCAGCTATGAAACAGCCATTAATTGAATGGGTTCATCTATTATTAATTTGTTCTAATGTTATGAAAAAAGCATTTAAGATATACAAGGTAGGCTGGGTGGTAGTGGTGCACACCTTTGACCCCAGGACTTGGGAGGCAGAGGCAGGTGGATGTCTCTGAGTTAAGGCCAGCCTGGTCTACAAGAGCTAGTTCCAGGACAGGCTTCAAAGCTACAGAGAAACCATGTCTTGAAAAACCAAACACACACACACACACACACACGGTAGTTTGGAGACACATTAAATTCCAGGAAAATTGCAATGATAGGGATGTTTGAAAAGGACACATAAGTACCCAACAATCAAAGCTGGAGACAAAAAAAAAAATAGACAAAAAAAAAATCATATTGAGTTAAAAACCCAAGAATACTATACACATTTCCAAGCCCATACTGGTATTAATGATAAAATGAAAAATATGCACTAAAATATAAACAACAAAAATGATTGAGTAAATAAATAAGTGGGAGAAAATAGGTAAATCTATGCCGAAGAATTCCACACATTTTATTTTAGATAGTTTGTTCTCAAAGAGGAATGTTCATAAGTCTCCCATACGTTGGGGTTGCATGCGGAGGGGCACAGCTGCCCTAGATCAGGCTGACAGCATGTGATGAAATGCACTTTTCCTGTGTGCTCTTCAAAGTCATGACCCCATCTAATCATGACAAAGACGTTAGATAAGTGCTATTTAGGGACACTACACAAAATACCTGGCAATACTCTACAAAACTGCCACAGAAAAACCCTTGACTTCCTAGAGGAACCTGAAAATGACTCAATGTGGCTGGGCATGGTGCCACCTGTCTTATCCCCAGAACTCAGCAGGCAGAGACAGGTGAATTCTGATGAGTTCCAGGCCAGCTAGGGCAAATAGTGAGACCTTGCCTCAAAAAGCAAAACAAAACAAAACAAAAAGATGAGTTGGTGCTATGTAGTATCCTGGGTAGAAATCTGAAACAAAACAAAAACCCAAGAAAAGCTGAATAATGTGTGGCCTTTGGTAGATTACTATGTATCAATATTGGTTTGTTTGTTGTGGGAAATTTACCATGTGAATCTAAGACATCAGGGATAAGAAGGTCTGGATCTGGATATGTGATAATTCTCTCCATTATCTTTACATTTTCCCGGTTTTGTTTAAGGGGCTAGAGAGATGGCTCAGGGGTTAAGAACATTTATTGCTCTTCTAGAGGATGGAGAAAGGCTGCACATAACCATCTGTAACTCTAGTTCCAGGGGATCCCACTCACATCTTCTGAGTGGTGCACAGGTGGTGCACATATATACATTCAGGCAAAACATTCATATGTATAAAATAAGTCTTTAAAACGTTTGTTAAAGAGAATCCATATATCTAATAGAAAATGATTGGCTTGGTCCAGAGAAAGAGTATTATAAAATTGATTTTTCTGGCCTACAAGAATGGGATTAGGTATTAATATCAATGGAGTTTAAGTGTACAGTAAGATATGGTCACTGGGTGTGTGTGTGTGTGTGTGTGTGTGTGTGTGTGTGTGTGTGTGCATATTTACCGCCAAGGCCAGATGCACACAGAGATAGAAGAGCTGAGTACCTGTGTGCAACCCCCCCCACTCCTACCATAAACTCTGCCTTTTATTCAAAAGCTAGAGTTTCAAGATCTCTGCTGAGGAACCAGATGATAATTTCTTGCATTTTAGTAATATACAGATTGATTCCTATAAATAGAAAGGTGCTAACACCAATCTCTAAGACAATAACAGGCATAGTAACTCTAGGTTAATAAAATAAAGCCAGGCACATAGCTTTAATCCTAACACTTGGGAGGCAGCGGCAGACAGATCTTTGTGAGTTTGAGGCCAGTCTAGTTTACAGAGTAGTGAGTTCCAAGACAGCCAGGGCTACACAGTGAAACTTTGTCTCAAAAAACAAAAACAAAAACAAACAAACAAACAAACAAGTCAACTAAAGTAATGGTGGCTCAAACCTGTCGTTTTAGCACTTGGGCCGAGGCCAGCCTCAGCTATAGTGAGTTCCAGGCCAGCCTGTGCTGCAGAACAAGACATGTCCTGCCCAGCAAACCTATGAAGTAGAAAATGAAGAAAAAGGGCCTAGTTCCAGGAAGCCCTAGGATAGTAGTTGCTCAGAAGGCCCAGGAGCAGCCAGCTTAGGTTAGGCTGTAGAAGGCAGGCCTCCCAGAAGAGAGGTACATTTGACAATGATACACTGTCTAGAGTTAGCAATAAAAGAGGCAGTGATGGTACACAACTTTAACGGCAGCATTCTAGAGACGGAGATATGCAGTTGTCTGTGTGTTCAAGGCTACCCTGTTCTACCTATATAGCAAGTGCTAGATACTGTCTCAAAACAAAAACAATGCCTCTCCACTCCCACCCCCAAACCCAAAAGAAAACAAACAAACAAAAAAAGGGCAGCTACTAATTTAGGGAAAGAAAAGTTAAAACATGATGTATTGTCTGGATCAATAATAGTAAATCACATTATTGTAGTCATGATAATATAAATTATCATGGGAGATTGGAAATGGGAATTTCCTAAGGTGCTAACCCCATTGTAACATAAGAAGTCAATAATGTTTAATATTACTAAATCAAGAAACTGCTTAAAAATGGCAGTAGTTGCCTTTAGGAAAAAGAACTAGAAACAGAGAGGGGTGAGTTAAGAATGGTTTTCATTATTATCCTTTTAGGACTTAATAGTCTAATGACTTCCATAAGTATGTAAGTGCTGGGGGTGAGCCATGCTAGGACCTTGCACATGGTAAACATGTGTACTACCACTGAGCTGCACTCCTAGGCACTACAGAGTTTTAAATTAATGCATTACAGATTGAAAAATACATACCTTTGCATATTAAAAAGAACATATTCCTTTCCTGTATATTTTGATAGCGGCAACAATGCTTATGCTTTCAAGTGAATCAGGTCAAATCTGAAGGCACTCACATCTTGGATCTAAGTCTGCAGGATTAGCAATATGTGAAATGAGAACACTGTCTTCCACTGCTGGTGACAATGACTCACTGAATCCTTGGGAATTCAGTATGTGGCAATGCTCTGAGTTTCTCCCACTAACCCAAGCCCCATGAAATCAGTAAAAACATACAAATGTAAGATAGGCTCTATTCAGTTTCTCCCCAGGCCCTCTGCCAGATCCCTATCCTAGTTGCCTTGCCTAATGTGGATGTTGTGGTATGCAAGTTCATAGTTACACAAGTTAGAAACTCTCCAGCCACCAGGCAGTGGGGCTTTGAGTGGCTCACTCTAGCTACAGAACTGAGACTACAGTGGCTAGAGTGAGCGAAACCCTCCTACCCCACATAATCATGGCAATCCTATTATGTTGAGTCCAGGGACCCCAGCCTTGCCACAAGGGCCTGTTCTCAGACCAAAGTGGACTGCTAAGCTGGCTCATTGTCCAGAATGTACCCACTTATTTGCACAAATTGACACTTTACGCCCATGGCATCCCAGTTACCCTGCAAGCTGATCCCTTCCCAAAGAAGCCTCTATGTCCCATGTTCAATAGTTTAGTGACTCGTTTTGGGGATCAGAAGGCTGGGTTCTCTTATTCCTTCACTCTATCCTCCAGATTCCTTAGCGTACTAGAGAGATTCCAGAGCAATTTCATAAGGAGCTGCCACTGGAGAGACAACTTTATTTGCAAATAACAAACAAGAGAAGCAAGAAGAGGCATGTGAAAACCATCTGTGGTGGGAGAGTCTTGGTAGAAGAGGAAAAGAATTGAGGATAAAGAGCAGAGGTGCCCTTATGCTCAGCTGTTGGCATGTAGACTCGTTCAGTTCTACTCTCAGCCTCCTGAGACCTCTCCACTTGGCTAGTAATCTCACCGCTGGCCCCTTTTGTCTCGTGGTTGCAAAGTGCCACCTCTCCAAACCAATGTGCCAGTGCTGTTTTGTACTCCACTGTCCTGGGCAGCCACTACTTTGAAGCTGTTACTTGGACTTTTTGCAGTTTTTAGTGATTCTGATTCCTTTGGATCTCCAGGAGTGGCTTCTTCTGCCACCAGAGGACTCAGGCTTTTCTAATAAGGACGTTTGGAGCCACTCAGTCCAGGAAGAGCCTGGATTCTCTTCCAGGTTGGTGGCCCCAAAGAAATGCTCCTGGGGATGGAAGGTACTGCTACAGCAGGGGATGTCACTTGAGTCTTCAGATATGTAATCTGTGATGAGAGCAAGAGAAGGGAAGTCAAAGTCAGCCTTTGTTTCTCCTGTGTACGGACCCTTAAGCCCCTCACTAGCTACCTTCCTTCCAAAGCTCCTCTCTGGGACACGCTTTCTCCATTCCCAGGCATGACAAGTCTCCAGCCCACCCCAGTCCTTACACTACACCGTCCTTCCAGTCTCACCTGTGCTTGAAGCAGGCGAACACTCATCACACTCCCATTTCTTACTGTTGGGTCTAAGAGAGGAGCAGTCTCGGTGGGTTCCATGGGATCCGCACGTGGCACACAGAATGAGGCGCCACCGCCTACAGAAGGGCCATGGAGAAATGTAGGGTCAATCAGGATACCAACTGTCACTTCTGAATGTTACCTGCCATCTAGCCTCAGCCATGAGGAGAACTTCCTAGGCATTTTATTTTTATGTGTATTGATGTTTTGCCTGCCTGCATGTATATGTACCTACCATGTGCATACAATGCCTGTGGAGGCTAAAGAAGGTGTCAGATCCCCTAGGACTGGAGTTGCAGACAGTTGGGAGCTGCTATGTGGATGGTGAGAATAGAGCCTGGGTCTTTTGGAAGGGCAGTTGGCACTCTTAACCACTAAGCCATCTCTCCAAAACCAAGGTCATTTTAAATTAATTTAATTTTACTATACACATTTACTATATTCCATGGCTCTGGGATGCTGAGTGTTGATTCTAAGAGATGATAGGTGGGTTCTTCCCCCAGCAGGATGAATTTGGAAGGAACTGACCCTGGGTATCTCTCCATTGGGCTCAAACAGCAGACCCTGCAGGGGAGACCTAACCATTTGTGCATGAATAAGGCAAGGGCTGGTAAAACACACGGGACTTGGCAACTGGGTTCATCCAGAGGAGTGTGGAAAAGAGCAGACTTCCTGCTTTAATAACAGTGCCAAGACCCAAGATGGCACTGCCCAGGAGCTTCTTCCTACCCTTCATCCTCAAAGCTGTCTCTGCCGTGCTCGTACAGACAGATGGGAGCATCACAATGCTGATAGCGCTGATACAGCTCTGAGAAAGCCCCTGGCTCCAGTTCCCAGGCAGCATCTCTGCAGGGGGAAAAGACGTTGTAAAGGAGACATCACCTGCTGGTGAACCTTTGTCTACTGGGAGGACTCCAAGCTAAGCACAGCAAGAGTTCAAAGGCGGGCAAGCAGGTCCGCTGTGCGGCTGTGCGGAGGGGACCAAAGCAAAGGGAGTGGAGTGTGGGCTCCTTAGCTCCACCCTGGAGTTCAATCCCCATCCCCAGACATTTCTGTTTTGTTTTAAAGTGCCTTTTCAGGACTATGCCTTCTGCCCACCCTCTCGGCTTTCCTCGGTGACTGAGAAGCAGTCTCCTCTCTTCGCTGTATACCAGCGCCTCAGCTGCTGCCAATCTGAGCTATCCACACACTCACCCATCTAGAGGTCCACACAACCCACTCCCTGGCTCAGGTCCTGCTGTACAGACTTCCCACTACCTGTCTGGAATGTGAATCCCCATCCTCAGCATCTCTTGTGGAAACTCTTCTCGATTGTTGCACTGGGGGCACTTGAAGAAATGCTTTGCTGATGTGTGGGCATATTTCTGTAACAGAAGAACGCATTAGTGAAACAATCAGGCCCCCTTCCCACCCTCACCTCAGGGGAGTTCAGGAAAAGAAGTTTGGGTGTACTAGGATAAAGGCTGCCACCAGGTGTCAAGCCTGTGACCAGAATGCTTTTGAAGAATTCCCAGGAGTGCCTCAGTTGTCTTTCTGTCTACGGGGCCTGGCAGTGCTGACTCAGCAGTGAGGTTGATTTTGCGCTCCTTGACTCATTCTTGGAAATACCCATTTGTTTTTGGCAGTTCTGATAATTTTGCCTGGTCTTTATGATAAATGAGGCCCTAGGCCAAGGCTAACCAGACTGGGCTGATTATTCCCTCACTGACCTGGGAGCAGTTCCTGTATACAGGCCTGCAGATTGCTGTTTGGAAGTTAGACATGCCTGAGCATTCCCAGGTTGCCTTGGTTCCAAGCACAGGGCCAGGGCAATCATCAAGGTCCCCCAGAGCAGAGAAAGCCCACCTGGATACACTTTCGATGGTAGATAGCTTGACTACAACATGGGCTTCGGATATTCTCAACATTTGTTTGGGATAAGTCTTCGCAACACAAAACACAGCTTTCCTCCCCCAGACTCCCCTGTTGGATGTCCTGTGTCGGGCGATGTTTTCCACAAAATGATCTGTGGTGGGTAAACAGACTTGGTTTCTGGCTTGTCACTGATGCAGATTCCCAGCTGCCTGACCTAGGAAGGGCAATCAGCGATTTGCTAGTTGCCCAGGGAACATTGATACTCCTCCGAAAAGCAGGCAGAGAACTGCTTTATGACTTCTCATGGCTACTTACCCAGTGAGCAGAGCTCCGAGGGCTGTCTCCATATTTTCACATTACTCAAAGCCCTATTTAGTTACGAGCAGCTGTCTAAGAACCCCAGCTGTTTGTAATTTAAGGAGGGGACAGGAAGCAAGAAGAAACCCCTGTGAAACTTCCAAGTCAAGGCACTGTTTCCCATTATTAAGTGGAGGGACAGATTTGTTGGAGAATCAACACCATCTTGTGAGAACTGGGTTCTGATCTCAGTCGTGCCTCAACAACAGGCTACAAAAGGCATCCACCTGTTTCCTTCCTCACTCACTTGTACTCTCCAAAAAATTGTGAAAGGCAACCCCTTTCTTGGCCACAAGGCAGATGGAAGTTTTTGACACACTGATCATTCTGGCATTTGATAGCAGCTCCTTTTTTCTTGCACACAAAGCAGATCTGCAAATGAGATTCCAGAAAATGTTTTGTGACCCGAGAAAGACAAACAGAGGTTGTGGTTCTTCTTTCTACAGACTGGAAATTCTGGGAAGCAGCATCTGTCTGTCCCCTTTCAGCGGTCCAGGGTACCTACCCTAGAGCTGAACTTCAAGAATCACTGAATTTTCTTGTTTCTCAAGATGCTGCTTCCTTTCTTAGGAAACATTCCAAAAGAGATGGGACATAAAAGAAGGGCTGGGGCTAGGGGGTAGCTCAGTGATAGAGTGCTTGCTTATCATATCTCAGCCCTGGTTTGACTCCTAGGGACAGACAGACAGACATACAGATTCTGAAATATGTATGAGAAGAGGCCTACCCCAAGGTCCCCATTTCAAGAACTTCTAACCTTCTTAGAAGCCCGGGCTGCCTCCTTTTTGATGTCTTCAGGCATGAATCCATGGAGACCTCTGTTGGGTTGGCCCTTCTGAGGCAGCTTGCTAGATAGGATCTAGGGGAGCAGCAGAACCAGGCTGTCAATATAAGATTGTCAGTGGGGTGATGATGACCAAAGAAGAGAACTAAGACATGGAGCTTGGTGGAACACATTTGTGAATATACGACAATTTATTTAATGAACTCTGATATAATGGTATGTATTGGGTACTCCAGCACTTTCTAATTATTAACTCTTTGGACAACCTGATAAGGAGAAACATGACTTGCCAAAGGCCACTGAGCTTCAGAACCAGTGCCTTTATGCAGTGCTGTTCTGTCCCTTACATGTTAAGGACTGCTGCTGCCATTATATGAACACTGGGGACATGTTCTCTCTAGATTGATTTCACTTTGTGCTTATAAAAAACATAACACAGAAGCTATTGTGCTTTTATTTTACAGAGGAGGCCACTGAACATAATGTGGCAAGTGACATGGCTGTAGTCACATGGCAAGGAATTACAGAGCTGGCATTCACACATGGGCCTGCAGAACTCACACTCTTACTCCTTCTGCTATATTCCCCTTTAGTACAGGACATTTTAGAATATTTTTTTTTCCTCAGAGTATTACAGGAAGGTAAATGGGATTTTAAAGTCTCCTCTTTAATGGTCATTCTGTATTAATAGGAAAAGGTTAGGAGTTGCACTTTTAAAAGCAAACTTTAAAGGTCTGTTTCTTTAAAAGTGTCCAAAAATAAGAATATTTTAAAAGTATTAGGATATTGCATTCTTGCAGTGGTTATAACATGTTTAGTGGGAGCTTAGGTTATGTATTTAACTTATTTTTTTTAAGATTTCTTCAATGCATATGAATGTTTGTCTTCATGTATGTGTGTGTGCTGTCCCTGAGATTAGAACTGGAGTTACAGATGTCTGTGACAAGACATGAAGATTCTAGGAACCAAACCCTGGCCCTCTGGAAGAGCAGTGAATACTCTTAAGCATTGAACCATTTCTCTAGCTATTTAGGCTGGTCTTGAACTTGTGAAATTCTTCTTCAGTCTTCCAAGTCTATTAGGTAATCCTACTTTAACATTACAGAGAGATGGTTCTATGTTAGATGAATGGGATTATATCTGTGGGTTCCTAATGATGCTTAAAACATCTCACACATTTTATCGTTATCTCAAGGCTTCATCATAAAGAGGGATTTTGTTTTAATTATATATTTTAAATATTAGTCTTTTTTTTAAATGAAGAGCATGTGCTATTTTTGTTGTTTTGTTTTTCAAGACAGAATTTCTCTGTTTAACAGTCCTGGCTGTCCTAGAACTCACTCTGAAGACCAGGCTGGCCTTGAACTCAGAGACCTGCCTGCCTGTGCCTCCCGAGTGCTGGGATTAAAGACATACTACTCACTTGGCCAAACATGTGCTATTTCTATAAACAACAACAAAACAATAAAGAACAGAAATAATTTAAATGTCATTTAAAAGAATTTTTTTTGAGACAGAGTTTCTCTGTGAAGCCCTAGTCATCCTGGAACTTGCTATGTAGACCAGGCTGGCCTGGAACTCATGTAGATCTGCTTGCTTCTGCCTCCCAAGTGCTCTGACCAAAGACATGCCACACCATACCAAACTTTCTTTTGTTTTTAATGATTTTTTTCACATGCATTGGTGTTTTGCGTGAATGTGTGTCTGTCAGGTTCCCTGGAACTGGAGTTACAGTTGTGAGCTGCCATGTGGGTGCTGGGAATTAAAGCAAGTCCTCTGGTAGACTATCTAGCACTCTTTAATGCCAAGCCATCTCTGTGGCCTGCTATCTTAAATTTTTTGATAACTACTTATTTTTGGAGTCATATATAACTCAGGATGACTCTGAACCCATGGTCATCTGCCTCTGCCTCCCAAGTGCTGGGATTATAAGTGTGCACTGTCATGCCTAGCTCTTTGACAGGACTGTAATATTTTGGGAACATTCATACTATGAAACACCAATGAGCTATTTAAAAACTAGGTTTATATGTTGAATATGGAGAGAGCTCCAAAATACCTGTAATGGAAGGAAAATCCTACAAAACATTATATATGTTTAATTTTATGTTAAAATGTATATGCATCAGAGTTAACTAAGCCCTAACACCTAGGAGGATTTACAAGAAAGGAAAAAAAAATCACAGGTCAATTTTTCTCAGGAGGATATATATATATATATATATATATATATATATATATATATATATGGTTAGTAAGTTGAATTCAGCCCCATATTCAAAGAATAATACAGCATGAACAAGAAGGGCCTGTATGAAGAATGCAAGATTAGTTTAACATCAGATAATTCAGTTGGTATAACAAACCATAAAAAGAGAAAAATCAAGATCACGTCAGTGGATGCCAAAAACATTCTCAAAACTCAATACACACTTGTGATAACCTTAGTAAACTAGGAATAAGAGAATTTCAATCTGACAAACACATCTATGAAAAAAAGTTTAAAGCTAATGTATTTATAATGATGAAAAACTAGATGCTGTCCCCTAATGCTGGGACTATTTATACTATGTCTACTGAACATTAGGTTGAAGGCTCTAGCCAGTTACAAAAGGCAAGAAGAAATAAAAGACAAAACTGGGGGCTGGAGATGCAGCTCAGTCAGTAGTTGCCTAGCAAGTTCAATCCTTACCACTACATTAAAAACTGGGCATGGGAGCTGGAGAGAAGGTTCAGCTGTTAAAATCATATGTTGCTTCTGCAGAACACAAAGGCTCAGTTCCCAGTGTCTACATAGTGGCTCACAACCTTTTATAACTCCAGTTCTAGGGATCCAACCCACTCTTCTGACTTCTTCAGGCACCAGGCATGTCTTGCAGGCAAACACACATACATATAAAGTGATTTTCCAAACAAACAAACTAAGCATGTGGCAAATGCCTGCAATCTCAACACTTGAGAGTTAGAGGCAGGGGAGTTGGAAGAGAGATGATTTAGTCAGGAAAGCCTTGCTGCACAAGCATAAAGACCTAAGTTCAGATCCTCATCAGGGATGTAAAATGCTGGGGCTGGTCACATGTGCTTGTAATCCTATCACTGATAAGGCAGAGACAGAAGGATCCCTGGAGCTTGATAGTTAGCTATTCTTGCCAGACCAGAGTGCTCCAGTATTCTGTGTGAAAAACAAGATGGACAGAAATAGAGCACAGTAGATGTCAATCTCATCTCCACATTCACACATGTGTACAACACACATGTATGCACACACATACATGAATCTGTATATATGTATACTCCGTCCCCATAACACAAAAGAAAAAAGGAAATTCAAGATCATACTCAAGCTACAAGATGAGTTTAAGGCTGTTCTGGGCTACATGAGACAAAATTTGGAAAAGAAGCAGAACTGTCTTACATATGATACTGACTATAGATACAGAGAACCAGAGAATCCCAAACAAACAAATTTTTTTTGTTGAATTGATAAGTGAATTTAACAAAATTATAGAATATAAGATCAATATACAAAATAATTACATTTCTATAGTTCAGCAACAAAATATTTAGAAAAAACATTTAACAAAAGATGCAGAATTCTACCCTTTCAATAGGACTGCAGAACATTATAGAAAAAAATAAGAGAAAGGCATTGTGGAATATTAGTTTAAGATGTGTTACATTCATCTATGCTGTGGAGTATTTGTTTAATGATGCAAAAATGTGTTGCATCTGTTTGACTCTGTAAAGCTGTGTTGCTTTGCTTGTCTAACACACCTGCCTGATCTAATAAAGAATCGAATGGTCAACATCGAGGCAGGAGAAACAGGTGAGGCTGGCAGGCAGAGAGAATAAATAGGAGACATCTAGGCTTAAGAGCGAAGAGGAGGACACCGGGGGCCAGCCCCACAGCCCCACAGCCCCACAGCCCCACAGCCCCACAGCCCCACAGCCCCACAGCCCCACAGCCCCACAGCCCCACAGCCCCACAGCCCCACAGCCCCACAGCCCCACAGCCCCACAGCCCCACAGCCCCACAGCCCCAGAGCCCCACAGCCAGCCCCACAGCCCCACAGCCCCACAGCCCCACAGCCCCACAGCCCCACAGCCAGCCCCACAGCCCCACAGCCCCACAGCCACACACCCCCACAGCCCCACAGCCAGCCACTGAGTAAGAAGTAAAAAAAAGATATATAGAATAAGAAAGGTAAAAAGCACAGAGACAAAATGTAGTTAAAGAGAAACAGGGTAATTTAAGGTAGAAAAGCTGGCCAAAAAAAAAAAAAAAAAAAAAAAAAAAAAGCCAAGGCTGGGTATTCATAAGAATAAGTGTGTATTAATTTGGGAGCTGGGTGGCTGGCAGGTCCCAAAAGAATAAAACCAACAAAACAAAACAAAAAAAAAAAAAAAACTAAATCCAACTACAGAAAGGATTTGAGCCAGGTGGTGATGAGGCATGCCTTTAATGCTGGTATTCAGGAGGTGGATCTCTGAGTTTGAGGCCAACCTAGTCTACAGAGAGAGTTCAGGACACACAGAGCTACACAGAGAAACCCCATCTTGAAAAAACAAAAACAAAAAATGAAAGGAATTGATACCCAAAAGACTGTAAAATTTACCATATTTAATTTTAAGACACTATAAAACCCCAAGAATTAAGACAGTGGAGTGCTAGTATATGAACAGACGCATATAGGTAAATAGTATGAATAGATTATCCAGATTCACAAACACATATATGGCCAATTGATTTTGATAAAGACATCTAGGTACTTTGTGGTATTTAAGTAACACTTAGGACACACAGACCATGCTAACCATAAAAGGATAACTGATAAATACAACATCAAAAGACACTATTAGATAAAGGATTTGTATTCAGAATATATAAGTAAATCTTACAATCCAGTAACACAAAAGACTGCAGTTTCTCCTCCTCTTCCTTCTTCTTTTGAGACAGGGTTTCTCTGGGTAGCTGTCCTGGAACTCACTCTGTAGACCAGGCTGGCCTTGAACTCACAGAGATCAGTCTGCCTCTGCCAGCCAAGTTCTGGGATTAAATGTGTGTACCACCATGCCCAGTTTATAATCAAGTTTCTTTTAATGAACAAAAACATTCAAATAGATTCAAAAGAAAATATGTGAATAAGCACACAAAAAGGTCAACATCTTTATTCCTCAAAGAAGTACAAATTGTCACCAGTAGCATCCAGTGGGCAGGCTGAAGTGAAAAAGACTGACATACCAAGTTTTGGTTAAAAAAAAATTGTCAGCTTCAACTCTCATAAATTGCTAATGGGTATGTAAACTGGTACAACAACTTTGGAAAGATGACTTGGCAACTTCACACATGTTATAAGTAATCCCACTCCTAAACATCTGCCCAAGGGAAGGAAGAGCACATGTCACAAAAGACTTTCACATGAACGTTCTCGGAAGGTTTATTCACAAAAGTCCACCAAAGTAAAACAAATCAAATGTCTACCAACTGTTGGCAAGATGACTTTAACATGCTCAAGCACCATTGGAGACATTTCAGCAGCAGATGTGAGCCAGGGTTAGTGGAATCAGAGTCTGAGGAAGGAAGGAGGTCAGAGGAAGCAGGAGAGGAGCTGAGCAGTCTAATAAAAGTCCATGGTTATTTTAGGCTCTGACAGGCAAATTAAAGACAGGGAGAAAGACCAAGTAGAAAGAGAGACATCCTTACAAGTGTGGCAGTAAAGAATTTACAGGGGCAGAAGGAGGGGCAGTTTGGCCAGAGGGAGGATTCCAATAGCATAAGAATGGAGATACAGGGAGGGAAGGGCCAATGCCTTAGGACAGACACAATCCCCAGGAGACCCAAGACTTGTCAGAGAGATGCCCAGGATCAATGGACAGGTGTCCCTTGTCCACACTGATAGACAGGAGAGTGTAGGGAGGCTTGCCTGGTACACCAGTATGTCTTTTGTACTGGGCTCTAGCAAGCCAGAGACACAGCAGGCAGCTGGGAGAGGACACTGACCTGGAAGGTCAGTTAACAAAATAGGTGGAGAGGAATGGCTGGAGAGGCAGACTCTAAAAACTTTGTAGTCAAATATGGTAGGTGGCAGGAGTCAGAAAAAGCACCCAGGAGGGCCAAATCAAGTTTTTTTTTTTTTTTTTTTTTTTTTTTTTCACAAGAGGCCCCTTTAGTGTTTCTGCACTAGATGTAAGCGAGGGTGTGCAGTGAAACCACTGGAATTAGACCTCTCCATGGGCGAAAAGGAAGGATTATTGGAAATATGAAACTGCTGCATGGCCCTTGCATGTGACAGACAGACAGAAGATAGCCATTCATAAGGGGTGTGTTTTGTCAAGAACAAGGTGAGTTAGCTGGAGCAGCCTGGGAACTGGTATGGGACTTTGAGCTGTTGGAGGCTTGCTCCAGTTAATAGGGAACTTTCTGGAGGCAGGTGGCAGGTGTGGGGGTGCTGCAGATAAGGGAAGTAAAGGCTTTTCTTGACAGAAACCTACTTTACAAGGTTTACAAGGTTCTGAGGAATTTGGATTTCAAGTAACAATCCTTGTTTTCCTGGTCAGAGTCCAGTCTGAGCAGGACTCAGACTGTCAGTTTGGGGGTTGGGACCTAACAGAAAGAATATAAACAAAATAAAGTAAAACAATAAGCAAAATTAATCTACTGGTGTTTCCAGTGACTATTTCTGGTGATACTGACTAAAACAGGACATGAGGTGAATTTTCTGAGATGACTGAAGAGTTTATTTCGGTGTGGATGTTGATTACATGGGGATATACAATTTATCAAAATCAAGGGCTGGAGATATGGCTCAGCAGTTAAGAGCATTGTCGGCTGTTGGACTGGACACAATTGCCTAGAACTTCACTCCTAGGGGATCTGATGCCCTCTTCTGGCCTTTAAGGGCACTGCACATATGTGGTGCACAGACATACATAAAATAAAAATAAATCAATCTTTAAAAAACTCATCTAACTGTACACATACGTTGGTTCATTTTATGGTATTTAGATTATATTTATTAAAATATCAGATTGGGGGAAATTAAGTGGAAAAACAATCCAAGTGAATATTTGTTTCTGGGAGGCAGGGAGAAAGAAGGAATATGATTTAGGGAAGAGGGCTTTTATGCTTTATACTGTCAGGATTTTAGATCATGTCATTTACTATTTAAAAAATAGATTTTCAAAGATTAAAAATTGTAAGGAAAAACAAACAGCTATAAACCCGAGGCTAGATGCAGAAGTGTCTGTCTAGAAGAAAGCTGTAAGACACAGAGAGCAAGGAGGACCTTATACTCACAAGACAGAAATAGTGCACACAGAGACTGTCTTTCTGAAGAAATTCTCCTAGTTTTTCAGGATCACCAGGTTCTTGAAGGCATAGCAGGCAAACTGAAAGAGTGAACATTACGAATGAAGGCTTGACTCAAGTTGATCATTAAGAATAGAAAAGTAGGTTAACCATCTAAAAATAGCAAAGAGTCTAGAAGCCCCTTTACTTACCAAGGGGTTTTATCTAGATAAAGTTTCCATAAATGAAAACATCCTAAGTTGGAGGTGCATTTACTACATGTAACCTATCAAACACCACAGCTTGTAGCACGTTATAACTACAGAAAGTTGGTTGTGTGGCTTACTAGGAGTTGTGCCTGCTGCCACTGGGCAGCACTGCAAAGATATTATCAGCTAGGGAAAAGACCCAAGCCCCCAAATCAAGGATGGCTTCTACTGATACATGTCACTTTTGTATCACCTTAATGTAAAAACAAACAAACAAAAAAAAAACAAAACAAAAAACAAAAAAATTAAAGCATTGTGGTCAGGAATAATCTTTACCAGGAGCAGGGTAATTCTGGCAAGGATAAAGGTTAACTCTTGTTGGGTACCCAGCCTTGATATAATTTTGGTCACACTGGCAAAGTAGGCTTTGACTATCATGTTATACTGTTTTGTTCTCAACTGGCTTTAACTAAATTCTTTCTTGAACATCAGATATGTAACTTTAAAACTACAGACACTGAATTCTTTAGGATCTTAATCTTGAGAGAATCTGGGAAAGAAGGAGAGGTTGACAATGAAAGCAAGTTTACTGTCCCATTGGAGTGACCTTCTTGCTAATGGCTGGAAGCAGCAACTGAATGCCACCTCATCTCTCTTACCGGGACCTGAAGATAGCTTCTTCTGGGCTACCTTCTTAGTCCTGGCAGTTTTTCTATGTAAGAGAAAAAAAAAAAATGTGAGGATACTACTGACAAGCCTTCTGAATTTCCCTTAAAATGTCACTCATAATCTGATTAAGGACCAAATTCTCTAAAGGCTTTTCATACTTCAATTTTAAAGTATAAAACATACTAAATTATTTGAGGATAGTATCATCTCAGTGCCTATGCTGCCTGGGTTGAATGAATTAAACAGTAATCCTCCTTTCATTTTCTTCTGCCAATTACCCAAAGTACACTAAATGGCACCAAAGTTGATTGTTTCCCAGTGCTAGGCACTATTTTTGGTACTTTATCATGAATTAGTTCAACAGGTCTGCAGAACATCCTACAAAGGGAGTACTATTATAAGGCATATTTTTGAGATGAGTAAATTGAAACGTAAATGATTTGTCTTAGGTCTTGCAGTTATCAGGCAGCATAGGCGTGATAGAGATTTAAGCGGTGAAGTTCCACAGCTGTCACTTTGCTAATGGAGACAGCTCTGGGAAGACAAGGAAGTCTACTCTGGGGTGGTGGGGAGTGTTGGTGTCTAACCCTAACCCCTGAGAATATGCCAAAGGGAGCAGGAAATGTAGCATGTATCAATGGCCACTGTAATTTTCCCCAGCTCTTTCAGGGCACCTACTCTACCTCAATCTTGGATGTTCCTTCTTTTCTTTTATAGTCTTCATTCGCTTCCTTCTTTCCTTCCTATCTAGAATTCTTTCGTACTGTTATGAAGACAACACAGGCTTTTCCAGCTATAAACATAAACAAGGTAGATTAGCAATTTAATCTTACATTTGGTTATCAAGTTCTACAAGATCAAAGTGTACTCAAAAAAGGGGTATCTCCAATATTAATGCCAGTAATGGTCAATAATAAATTGTGCCAAGAACCGTTGTAGGCACTTACCACACACTTAGGCATAATTATCACCCTTATTTTCAAGTTGAGACTGAGGTACAGAAAGATAACGTCTTGGTCAAGGTCAGAATCAGTGATCCAAGGTGAGACTTGAAGCTAACAAACTCCCATGTTAGAATGTCATAACACTGCAGTCTAAGATGTTGGAACCATTTACTGACTTAGTTAAATGATTTTTATTGAGTGTATGGGACAACACTCAAGAAAAATGCACCTTATGTGTGGGTGCCATTTCAACCCAATTAGATAAGGTAGTTCTTTTCTAGCTACTGAGAAATTTGGCAGCTTAAAAGCCGTAACTCGTCTAGTTGAGGGAGAAATAGCAATGAAGATCACCCCCTTAGCTCTTATCCTTTTAACCAGGCTCAGATGGCCACTGAGGTTTGGCCTGTCCCATCTTTGTCTTGATGTAAACTAAGTAAAATGCCACTCCTGCTACCAGTGTAAGCAGATTACAAAGCTACCCAGGTTTCACTGGCCATTACAAAATCTTCAGAAGTGAATTGAGGTGATGGGGGGCCCGGGTCGACGGCAGCGGCAGGGCAGGGGTCACCCCATGAAGGGCTATGTCTAGTAAGCAAAGGGGGCAACATTTCTTAAGAAAGCTCAGTGAATTAGGTCACTCCAGAGACATACTACACTTCAGTACCCAGAGCCTTAGATCAAGCCTGGGGATTATGAATGTCTTCATGAACGGCTAACTAGTCTGCATAAATGCTGTTACAAGCCATGGAAATTTCAGGCCATGTTTTCCCAACACAGGAGATGTAGTTGCAGAATTGGTTTGTTTTCTTACTAAACATGGACAGGCTGGAGTGAGATGCTGTGGCTCTAAACTTGCAGTTTCCCCTATGAGATCTACTTTAACCAGTTTAGTTAGCGCTAAACCCAACCGCGTTAGAATAGTTATAAACCTTGAGACTTCAGTCCTTTGCATCGCTGGAGCACGATGTTACTTGAGTAGGAGTCTGTGTACAATGGTGGTTTTAAGGTGGGACAATCTTCAAAACAGTTGAGGAAGATGTGGCAAAAGCAAGCTGCTCAGTCCGTTGACTTCCTAAACCGGCGGATGCTCGCTCAAAACGCGCACCAAGTTGTTTTCCTGTATAAAAGCGTTGGGTGAATGCTTGCTGAGAAAATTAAAAATATAGGGACGTGTCCGGCCCCGCCGCCGCCGCCGCAAGAATAAACCATTTATTTGGGAAATACGTGTCGGTGTGGCCACAACCGTCCCCCGAAGGTAACAGCCACAGGGGGGGCTCAAGGAGCATTCCGCGTCTGCCAGGCTAGGCTCAGGTCACGCCTGCTGGGCAGCTGGTGCGGGGCCAGGCTGCGGTTTGCTTCCGCCTCTCGCTCCTCCCGGGAACCACTGAGTCGCCGCTCCCACTGCCCACCCAGCTGTCGCCGAGGGCGCCGCTGTCCCGGAGCTTTGTTCGTTGACACAAGCCGTGGTAGCTACTTGAGGGGCGGCCGCCCCGCGCGGTGACTGCGCCGACTAAGGGGGCGAGCGCGCTAACGGGGACTGGGTCACGCGGACTATGCGGTTGTCGGGACGAGGGCCGCTAACGGCCGCGCGCCCGCCCCGCCCCCGCCCCCGTCCCCGCCCCCGCGCCCGCCCCGCTCCCGCCCCCCGCTCCTGGCGCGTGCGCACGCTCGCATGCTCTTTGGGCGGCAGGCAGGCTCCGGGCTCGAGCCGTCGCGTGCTGGTGACGTCGCGCTCCCGGCGCGGGCTTGTAACGCGACGCGACGCGACGCGGCCCGTTGTCTGTGCAGGGCTAGGAAGCCCCGAGGGCGGTGGGCGCTCCCGGTGGGAGCGGCGCGGGGTTGGCAGGGCCCGGACATGGCGCTGAGGGGCCGCCCCGCGGGAAGATGAATAAGGGCTGGCTGGAGCTGGAGAGTGACCCGGGTACGGAGGGGCCCCGGCGGGCCGGGGGCCGGGAGCTGGGGAGGCCGGATGGGCCCTGGACGCGCCTGCCTCACAATCCCTCCTCCTCTTGTCTTCCCACCCAGGCCTCTTCACCCTCCTGGTGGAAGATTTCGGTAAGAGCCGCCCCTGACCCGGCTGTTGGGGGGGCGTGTGTGTGTCTGTGTGTCTGTGTGTGTGTCTGTGTCTGCTCCCTGAGTTCCCGCTGCAGAGCCTGGGGCTGCCCTGCCTACATCTCCTTTCCTGATCACAGGTGTCAAAGGGGTGCAAGTGGAGGAGATCTATGATCTTCAGAGTAAATGCCAGGGGTGAGTGACTGGGCCCTTACCTCTGGAGGGCTGGGAAAGGGCAAGGGAATAGTACCCCTTCAGGGGAGGCAGAGTTAGAAAACAAAGTTGTATAAAATGTCACATAAGAAAGCTTCTCTTTGTGGGTGCCCTCCTTGGACTTTTTTTTTTTTTTTCCTTTTTAAATTTTCTTCCCAGTCTTCCCTCAGCACTTCCCCTTAGGAAGTAGCAGCACATCTTTTAATCCTAGCCACTCTTGGAGTACAGTTCCGCTGCCTTTTCTGGTTTGTACGTGAACAATCCATTAATTATATAACCATGTGTGCTGTGCTTTTAACCACCACACAGAATTTGTCCTGACCAGGACTGGTGGTTCATCCCTTTAATCCTGGGGCTTGGAAGGCAGAGGCAGGCAGAGCTCTTGAGTTTGAGGCCAGCCTAAGCTACATAGTGAGACCGTGTCTCAACAAAACTAAACAAGTTGTCCTGTATTGATTGGTTGGTGTGACAAGACCCTTTTCAGGTTCTAGTTTTGGTGATCTGTTGAACAGAGGAACCTGCTAACTAACAGTAATAATCCAAGGAGTGTGCTTTCATTTTCTAGAAATGAAGGGGCTGATTCAGGAGTTCATGAGTTTCCCTAGTTTTAGGGCTTGAGGCTGAGGTCCACAAGTGAGAGCTGGTATTCACTCCTCATCACAGTTTTTGTGCCTTGTTGTGTTTCCACCTTGCTCCATCATGGGCCACCAGTTCCAGATCTCCTCCTCCTCTTGCCTAGACTTCATTATGACACTGAGTGGGGTTTCAGAGCATCAAGCTCACACTTATGGGTGTGAGGCTCTGAGGAGCCATGTGGGATACAGTATTGGTAAGAGTGAGGGTCTGAGAGCTGTAGCACTCAGTGCAAAGGAAAAGGGAGAGAAAGAAGGGGATGCTGACTGTCATCTGCCTCTTCCTTCTCTAGGCCTGTATATGGATTTATCTTCCTGTTCAAATGGATTGAAGAACGCAGGTCCCGCCGCAAGGTTTCTACGTTGGTGGATGATACATCCGTGATTGATGATGATATTGTGAATAACATGTTCTTTGCCCACCAGGTTTGCTGAGTTCTGAGCTTGTTGGAAGGGCAGGGTGCTATTTTTTGTTCTGGTCATCACTGGTTTTGCATGGAAAGTGACAGTGAGGAAAGCAGGAGGAAGAAATAGGCTAGTGACAAGAGTGGTTGTCACAGAAACCCATGGCAGAACAAACCTAGCTCTTTTTCATTAAAGGGATGCCTTTAGAGTAGAGGATATCTTAGGATATCCTCCATGTCCCTTGATATGTGGTACTTAGTTGGTCTGTGTTTCATGAGTAAAGACTGAGCAAGACAAAAGGAGACTGATGAGGGTTGTTGGCATCTTTTCTTCAGTCTCATCAGTCAGTGTGGGCTTGGGGAAGCTTGAGGCAAAGGGTGTGCAACAGGTCTAATTTTGATTTACAGCTGATTCCCAACTCTTGCGCCACTCATGCCTTGCTGAGCGTGCTTCTGAACTGCAACAATGTGGATCTGGGGCCCACCCTGAGTCGAATGAAGGATTTCACCAAAGGTTTCAGTCCAGAGGTATGCTGTAGTGCCTTAACTCATGGCTCACAGCTGGCTGGGCACATCTGACCCTCAGAGCCATTGGTAATGCCACCACATGATATTTGGTAGTTTGGTCATTTCTCTTTCAAACGATAATTAACATCTGTTTGACTCATAAGTAATGTGGAGGTGGTTGGTTTTAGGCTTTGCTGTAGAGAAGGAGTAAGTCACCTATGTCAGAACCTTTTCTCCTGTGACGTTTTGTAGCAGGCTGTGTTGCTCCCCTATAGCCAATTACTGTGCAAAGCCAGTATGGCCCATTTGTTTGGGAGGTCCTATGCTCTCATCTGCCACAACTAGCCCTTTAGGAAAGTTACCTGTACTGATGAAATTTCTGGAATGCCTCTGAGCCTGCTCTCTGGAATTCTGCCCTTACCCAGAAGCTCACCTAAGAGTCTGCTCTTATTTTTTTTATTTTTTTTTATTTTTTTTTTTAGAGCAAAGGATATGCAATTGGCAATGCTCCTGAGCTGGCCAAGGCACATAATAGCCATGCCAGGTAGGTGAGAGCTGTGCTTGCTGATATAGGGTAGGGGTAGTGGAGGATGTCTCTGACTTTGTCCTTTTCCAGGCCAGAACCACGTCACCTTCCTGAGAAGCAGAATGGCCTCAGTGCAGTGCGGACCATGGAGGCATTCCACTTTGTCAGCTATGTGCCTATCACAGGGCGGCTCTTTGAGTTGGACGGGTTGAAAGTCTACCCTATTGATCATGGTAGGCATCCTGAGGAAGGGATCTGCTGGATTTGTCATGCTTCCACCTGGTTATCTGGGTCTCCAGGCCCTCAGGTTCTTGAGACTCAGTAGCACGAAATGGGTGGGTACCAAAGACATCTAACTCTGGCCATGATTTCATCTTGCACCGAGTTATGTGACCAGCTTGTACCTGTTTCAGCCACACTAATCTATTTTCCTTCTTATCCCTGGTCACTCCATCTCAGGGTTTCCCACTTGCTGATTCCTCATCTTGTTCTCCCTTAGGGCCCTGGGGAGAGGATGAGGAATGGACGGATAAAGCCAGACGGGTGATCATGGAACGAATTGGCCTTGCTACTGCAGGGTAAGGACCCTCAGTTGGCCCTGTTGTATCCTTCTGGAACTGTGTGTCCCCTTTGGGAAGGAAAGAGATAAACCAGATGCTCTGTAAATTGTAAGGCACATTGTATATCTGGCAAAATCAGGCTTGGGTCTTGGGCTTCCAACTTCTTGCCTTCCTGCTTGTGCTACCTGTGGCTTGCTCTGGGCTGGGCTAAAGGAGGGCAAAGCCTTTGGGTGGCAGAGAGGCCTGGATGTCACAGGTGTGCTGCTTTACTTCCTGACAGGCCCCTCACATAGTTTATGGAAAGGTATAGCTCAGGTTTCTGGGTATGTGGCTGGAGCGGGGCCTATACCTACAGCTACAAGATACCTTCCTCAGTCTGACAGCAGGGCGGGGGTGGGAACTGCTCTGATGGCTGTCACTGTGACTGCAGGGAACCGTACCATGACATCCGCTTTAACCTGATGGCTGTGGTACCTGACCGTAGGATCAAGTATGAGGCCAGGCTCCATGTATTGAAGGTGAACCGACAGACCATTCTGGAGGCCCTGCAGCAGGTAAGTGGGCCTCTGTCTGGCCATACCAACCCACTGATCCTTGTCTCTCCCACACTGTAGCATTTCTCTAATTCCAAAAATCAGTGTCTTGTAGGTACAGGTTTAACTGACTACTTATTTCTTTGCATCCTTTGTATGGGTGGCAAAACAGGGTGGGAAGCTTCTAAAGAGAAGCTGACCTTTTTATTTTCCAGTAAATAAATGAAAGAGTAGGTCAAGGCCCTCAGTTGTCTAACATGGAGTCCTGCTCTACCCCTTTTCTGCTAAGCTTTGAGTTCTGTTTTAAGCTGATTAGAGTAACACAGCCAGAGCTGATTCAGACCCACAAATCTCAAGAGTCACAACTGCCTGAGGAGACCAAGCCAGCAAGCAGCAAGTCTCCCCTCGGACTGGAGGCAAGCAGGGCCCCAGCGGCCTCTGAGTGCACTCACACAGGTACTTGAGGGACTTGGGCCTCAGCCATCTAGCTTGACATGGGAGGGCCCAAGCACTTCCAGAAGGTTCTTGGGCAGTGATGCAAGGGATTCAGTAGGAGGTCTGAAATCCCAGCACCTAGAGCTTTTCCCTCAAAACACCGAGGGAGAGTAGAGCTTTTCCTAAAGAACACCTGTAAGGGACTGTTGTGACCTTAGACCCTGCCCCTCTGTATTGTCCCGTTCCCCCCCCCCCACTGTTATTTTCTCTATAGGTTGCCTTTCTTGTTGCCTTGTTGTTTTCTCCATCTCATTGTGGAACGATAACTTAGAGCTTACTGGCCTATCTTGTTAGTTGTCTTCACTGGGGAAACAACTGTCAGAGGACTGGGGAGACTGTAGGCTGTTCTTAAGGATCCAACCGAATGTCCTATCTGTACTCTGTTTGTCTCAGATGGTGCAGAGGAGGTGGCTGGTTCATGTCCACAAGCTCCGACCCACAGTCCTCCCAGCAAATCTAAGCTGGTTGTAAAGCCTCCAGGGAGCCTCAATGGGGTTCCCACAAATCCTACCCCTATTGTCCAACGACTGCCAGCCTTTCTAGACAATCACAATTATGCCAAATCCCCTATGCAGGTAAGATGGAAGCACCTTGGCAAGATTTCATATGAGAGGCCACAGTGTGGGGTCCCCAGTATTATCCTTTGACTCTGCTTA